TTAGGAAACCCATCGATCCAGAAGAGGAGCTCCGGTGGATGTCCCAAGAAGTACGGGGTTATGTTGAAGCTGTTCTTAACAGTCTTGCAGCCAATGTTCCAAAGGTGAACTATTCTTATTCTAAAGCTCCAAATTTTCTTGTTTATCTCTTTTTTTACAGAGATTCCTCGGTCATGCTACTAAGCAATGTGAATTTACCATGAACAGGCTGTTGTTCTTTGTCAAGTGGAGAAAGCAAAGGAAGACATGCTGAATCAACTATACAGTTCTATAAGGTTCAATATCTTTTCGTTCCCTGTGCCTAGTTTCATTACAGTTGTGGTGTGCTTATTTGTGCTCTCCTGTATTTGATCTCTAGTGCAATAGGCAATGAAAGGATTGAGTCATTGATTCAAGAGGATCAGAATGTCAAAAGACGAAGAGAGTGTTACCAGAAACAATCCTCTCTTCTTTCTAAACTCACGAGGCAGCTTAGCATTCACGACAACCGAGCAGCTGCTGCTTCAAGTTATTCGGACAATAGCGGCACTGGTGAATTCATCCGCCTTCTTCTATTCAAAACATGATAACAGTTCTTCTGCTTGCTTGGTTTGGATTGATACGGCTACTTAAAAATTATCTGACAGATCTTCAATGAAACTTTTGGTGTATTAATCTTTTAATTGCGGTATCACTTGTCTTACAGAAAGTAGCCCAAGAACAAGTGGAGGTTCTTCAGGGGACGACTGGATGAATGCCTTCAACTCTGCTGCTAACGGACCCTCAGACTCATTGTCAAGGTACGGTTCCGGTGGTCACAGCCGCCGCTACAGTGACCCTGCTCAGAACGGAGATGCAGCATCACCAGGCTCTGGTAGCAACCGCCGCACCACCCCCAATCGGTTGCCACCAGCACCACCGCCGACAGGTTCAGCTTACAGGTATTAGACCCTGAGGGAAAAAAAATCCTGGAAGCGCATTGGGTCCCGTTTTCTGGGACTAAGTTACTCTTATTTTTTTCTAGTTTAAGACAGTGATTGGATGATTGTACTACTGTTTTGTCTTCTTTGTAGATAGATATTATCACACACACGTGTTCGAATTTTTTGCAGCTAAAAGAGTTTGGTCTCATGAGTCAAATGTCTGTTTTAATTTTTGTTTTCTTTTTTATTCAACTTTTCTTGGCATCCATTTTTTGAGCACCCTATGCTGTAGTAGTTATAGAATGAATTTGGTATCTGATATTCTTATGAATCTGGACCGTTTGTGTAAATTACTAAAATTTAAATAATCGAAGTACTTCCATTGTTTAAGCCTTGAGAGGTTAGTTTACGAAATCACTAAATTTTGGAGGTTTATTGGTAAAATAATCATATACGGTAGTAGTTGCAATTGCAAATGCAAATGCAAACCTAGTATCTTTTATTTAATTATGGAAGCCTGAAAAAGGTCAAAACAGCGTTGGATTAACCCTCGAACCAAATGAGCAACATGCAATTTCTTTACTTATTTAACTTTGTAATTTGTCAAACACCAGGGTTTAAATGATAGTTTCCAGAACAATTGGTGTTTTTATTAAATTTTAATAGATGTTCTTGCAAAAAATTTGAAGTTTGAGGGTTATTATTCATTTTCCCGAAACTTGGGAAAGGGATACTCTTCTAACCCTAATTCACTAATCGGCGGTAAATTAGGGCAGCACATTAGCGTTCTCTATCTCCCTCTCTTAAACTCCTTCACGTCTCTCAAACTCATCTCATTCTCCTCTTAGTAAGGTAAGCTCTCTCTTTTCTTCATAACGTTTGTGTTGATCTCGAAGTTCAACGACATTAATTAGAGATTTAAAGAGATTGATAAACCTAAAATGTTCCTGTTATATAGTTATGCACGGCACCTAGCAATCGAAATTTATTCTAATGATTTATCTAACGTTTTAAGATCAGGAATCAAAGTTTTGGAATCTGATAGGCGCATATGACGTAAACGTTTTAGCAGACCATCATCTCTACTTGCTTCTCCTTTTTTATCTCTATTTTCAATAGGTTGTATTGTTGTTATGCAGATTAGATAAGCAAAAACTATGGTGAAGTATAATTTCAAGAAGATAACAGTTGTGCCAAATGGAAAACAGTTTGTTGATATCGTTCTTTCCCGCACTCAGCGCCAGTCCAAAACTGTTATTCACAAGAGTGACAAGATCAGCAAACTCCGTAGCTTCTACATGATGAAAGTGAAGCTCACACAATCAAACTTTAACGATAAGCTCTCTGCCATTATCGACGAGTTTCCTCGCCTCGATGAAATCCAATCCTTTTATGAATCTCTTCTTCATGTGCTTTACAATAAAGATCACTACAAGCTCGCTCTTGGTCAAGTCAATACCGCCAAGAACAAGATCAGCAAAATCTCCGCGGATTATGTGAAGCTTCTCAAGCATGGTGATACTCTGTACCGGTGCAAGTGCTTAAAAGTGTCTGCTCTTGGGCGTATGTGTACTGTTATGAAAGGAATTGGTCCTAGTTTGGCTTATCTTGAGCAGGTTAGGCAACACTTGGCGAGGCTTCCTTCGATTGATCCAAACACTCGAACTCTCTTGATCTGTGGATGTCCTAATGTGGGAAAGAGTTCTTTTATGAACAAAGTTACAAGAGCTGATGTGGATGTTCAACCATATGCTTTCACTACCAAATCTCTCTTTCTTGGTCATACTGATTACAAGTGTTTGAGGTATCAGGTGATTGATACACCGGGGCTTTTGGATAGGGAAATTGAAGACCGTAATATCATTGAAATGTGTAGCATCACCGCGTTGGCTCATCTTCGAGCAGCTGTTTTGTTCTTTCTTGATATTTCGGGTTCTTGTGGTTACACCATTGCTCAGCAGGCTTCTCTTTTTCACAACATAAAGTCTGTTTTTAAGAACAAACCGTTGGTGATTGTCTGCAACAAGACTGATTTGATGCCTATGGAGAACTTATCTGAAGAAGACCGGAAGCTGATTGAAGAGATGAAAGATGAAGCTATGAAGACTGCAATGGGAGAAGATGAAGATGCAGTGCTTTTGAAGATGAGTACTTTGACTGAAGAAGGTGTGATGTCAGTGAGGAATACTGCTTGTCAGAGGCTGTTAGATCAGAGAGTAGCGGCGAAGATGAAATCGAAAAAGATCATTGACCACTTGCAAAGGTTCCATGTGGCGATGCCGAAGACTCGTGATGACCAAGAAAGGCTCCCTTGTATACCGCAGGTATCTAAGGAAGCTGGTGAAAAGGAGAAACGAAAGACCGAGAAGGATTTGGAAGATGAAAATGGTGGAGCTGGGGTTTATTCTGCTAGTCTAAAGAAGAACTACATCTTGGCTAAAGAAGAATGGAAGGAAGACATAATACCTGAGATTTGTGATGGTCACAATGTTGCTGACTTTGTTGATTCAGACATTTTGAATAGGCTTGAGGAGTTGACAAGTGAAGAAAGTCTCAGGAAGGCAGAGGAAGAAGAAGAAAATGGTTTTGAGATTGAAGGAGAAAAACTTACGGAGAAGGAGAAGAATGATTTGGCTGCTATTCGTAAGAAGAAAGCTTTGCTTATTCAAGAGAGTAGACTTAAGAAGAGCAATGCACAAAACAGAGCAGCTGTTCCAAGAAAGTTTGACAAAGATAAGAAGTTTACAAGGAAAAGAATGGGTAGAGAGTTATCATCTCTTGGTCTTGATCCGTCTTCTGCTTTGAACCGTGCAAGAAGCAAGTCTAGAGGCAGAAAGAGGGAAAGGTATGATGATTTGAGTAAAGATGCTATGGATGTGGATGTGAATGATGATGAACAACAGAAGAAGAAGATGTGTCTGAGATCCAAATCAAGATCTTTGTCAAGATCAAGATCAGTGTCAAGGCCACCACATGAGGTTTTACCTGGTGAAGGCTTCAAAGATTCTGCACAGAAGATTAAGGCAATTAAGATTGGACACAAATCTCACAGAAAGAGAGACAAAGCTGCACGTCGTGGAGAAGCAGACAGAGTTATACCATCTCTTAAACCAAAACACTTGTTTTCAGGGAAAAGAGGCAATGGAAAAAACCAAAGGCGTTGAAACCAATGATTAGGTAATTTCCTTTTCTTTCTCTAAACAATGGCTAATTGGTATAAGCCATGCATATCTCTATATATCAAGCTTATGTGTCCTTCACTTGTCCCTTTTTTATGACTTATATAAAATATTGTTGTGGTTAGTAAGCTGTAACAAAAAGAGATGATAATATGGTGCATTGGGTTCTTGCAGGTGGACTATGAAGGTGATGAATGGTCTGAGGATTATCAATCAAGTTTTGGATTTGGAAGCTTTTTACTTACTTTTGTTTTACTATTTTTGGATTTTCTCGGCATTTGTGATTCAAGTTCGACGAATTCTCGAGAAGAGAGATGGTTTCTTGGAGACAGCTATGACTGATCAATTGTGGTTTTTAGATGTTTTGGTATTTTTGATACTTGGAAGTTGCAATATTTCTTGGAGACAGCTATTAATAGTTATATGTTATATATGTCATGTGTGTGTGAAGGTGCATCAACAGAGTAGGTAACCTTGAATCAAACAAACCCTATCCAATTTGATTTAGCTCAATCTTTAGGTCTCCACATTCCGGTTTAGTAAAGCTCTAAAGTCAAATTTATAAATATGAATTTGGGAGTATCTCCAAGGTTATGGGCATAAAAGAGATGATGGATTGTAACTTGCAAGCGTTCGCAGTTTTGACACAAAAGACAATGACAATGTGAAACCATCTCTTGTGGGGTTCTGATCACAATTTTGAAAACTTGATTTCTCATTTAGTGAAGCAATATGTAAAACATATGTTCTTTCTCTTAGCATATAGGGATGTTTCTTCTATGGTTTTTGAACATAGATTATATCTTGTTATGAAACTTTGGAGTTACTACGTTGCATGTTAGCAGAAATACTGAAGTTATGTAAAAGTAAAACTTCCCCTTGAATTCTTTTAAACCATAGCTATACAAAACAATTTTCAAACATATACTTGAATTGATTCGAAACCCTAAACACAAAGTTACATATCAATTTCCAAAAAGAAAATAAATTCAAGCACAAAGAATGTGACACAATCTCAATCAAATTGTACGTGAAAACAAAAGATGAAACCCTAATTCCGAAAAAAACAAAGACGATAACCAATTACAAGTTTATAACCATGCATCCATCAAACATTCAGACACAACTCTCCGGCACATGGGGCAAGTATTTTTACGGCGGAACCACTCCAAGAGACAGCGATCATGGAAGACATGGGAACATGACATGCGTGTGGGAAAACCACGGGTATTGGAACCGGATAGATTCTCCAGACAGATGGAACACGGTTCTGTTTCCATCTTCAATCTCTTCACTTCTTCTCCATCGATTATTCCTTCACAAACCAGCCTCCGAAGCACAGAGGCCGATGACACAACGTGTACACTTGTCGTTATAGTCAAGACCAGTCTTATAACGAAGCCGTTAACGCCAAAACCTAAGTTGGTTGCAGTGGAAGCGATGAGCGGGGATAATACTTCGCATAGCGAACGATTATTATTATTATTGATGAGGAAACGATCACAGATGTGACTGTGACAAGTGCTTTCGATGCTAAAGTCTCTGATGAAATAGTGCGGGTCGGATTGGACTAGGGTTTTGACTCCGGTAGCCTGATCTTCGTGGGTCTCTTCAGTAATGAATTTAAATACGACAGTGACTGTGTTTGTTATTCCTTCCGATGGCTGCAGCTTTTGCCCTTGTATCTCACCTTCTATTCGAGTATTCATCATATTCAAAACAAATTTGAGGAAAAGAGCAGATGAAATTCGAAATCTAATTGAGACCAAAGCGTTGTGGTCTTGTGGAGAAGGAAGCGTTGATATATATACTGCAGACTTGTTGGGAAGATTTGCAATTTTTGTTTTTAAAAAGCTCTTAGGGTTTTGTAATGAGTAATGACAGTGAATTAATAGAAGCGCGTGACCTATCTATCGGCAGACACGTGAGTGTTAATTAATAATATAAGCCAAATGAAGTTTTATGATTACTTGCCATTTGCCAACAATGAACGGTGTTTGTTTGTTTTCGCCTCTGTTAAAATTCAGACTCAAAGATTTCTTTGACATGAGTTTGGGACAAAAGGAGAATGTCTAAGCAAAAGGCAATTGCTTTGTTGTCATATTTGTGACAGTTACTACATCGTACTAACTATTTGGTTATCTAAAACTGACTTCTATGAAATATATCATCCCTGGCTTTAAAACTCAAGTACATGAAACTAACAAGGTTGAAATTTCTGGTTACAAACAAATGAATTAAAGCCTCAAATCAAGGGTTATTTTCTAACCTTCTGCTGAAGAAGCTCCTTATCCATAACACTCATGTTGAACCAAATGTGTAGCTTAGTTGTTAGACTGTGAGAGATCCGCCATTGTCACCCGCTGTAAGATTCAGAATCATCGTCGCAGCCTTCACAGCCCTGTTACATTTGCCATCACATAACACAGGTTTAGGGTTTCAGGCAATCGATTCGTAGGAGAAGAAAAAACACAATCGGACAGATCAAACAGAGCAGGATCATGGCTCAGTATTAGAATACTCAAAATAATGATTTCTAACTAATTATAAACCTCACAGATAAGTGCAAGGGAAAACATTTTTTTAATCTGAGGAAGTTAAGTGTTTCTTACCAAGCATCAGGAGCTTGATACAAGGAAGCTGAGTTCCCGAAGCAGGAAGTGAGTAATTCTGTGTTGATCACGCCTGGATTTAATGCAACTACTGCCATTCCTTCAACTACTTCCTTTGCCACTGCTCGGCTTAAACCCTCAATCGCCCATTTTGATGCACAGTAAGGTGCAACCTGCAGATACAGTTTTGGTTTTAAAAGTTAACCTCTTTGGGATCAGGTTTGGTATTGCCAAATCATGAGTGCAAAAATTCCGAGTATAGAAGGAGCCTATCAGTGATAAAGTTATCTACATATTCAAGAGGTGGACACCAGAAAGCTACAGCGTTACCATCCAATATCAGGGAAAAAAGTATCTACCATCATTATTGTATTCGGACAAAGTCTAGCTCAATAATATCGTATATCTAGATATCAACAATTCTTTATGTTTCAATTGACTTTGTTACCTTTCTGTAACTACAAGAACAAAAACACAGTAACAGCTCGTGATTCAAGCAAGTGACAATTGAAACTCACCAGGGCAGCACCAGATCTTCCCCATCCAGAAGACATATTCACAATAATTCCCTGCTTACGCGGGAGCATCAGAGGGATAAAATGGCGCAGCACATTTGCTACTCCTTTAACGTTTGTATCCATGACATTGTCAAAATCTTCAGCAGAGACTTCCCAAATCTTGCTGTTCTTATTGATAGTACCGGCGTTGTTAACTGTAACATGCATTTACCAACATATAAGACTTCAAAATTTACAGTAAAATGATGCAAAGAAGCACTTTGCCCAGAATGATCAGGAGATGATGATCATGTAACCATCTACCCAACACTTGACAGACATCAACCTCGAGAAAAATGAATGAATTATTAGATGCCAACAACAGATACAATTGAAGATGGGGTAGAGCGTCAACTTCAGAAAGGAAAACATCCAGAAATTTAAAGCAAAAGCAGGCAGCGTTTATCTCAGGGTTCAATCTACCAATGAAAACATAACAAGAGCAAAGATAACACCTATATTACAATGGCTACCAAGCACTTTAGTAACAATCTAATGTTTTCTCCAAAACAACTAGTAGTGTGAAAGAAATATGTAAACATACCTATGATATCTGGGACACCCTTCTTCTCCACAATTGTGTGTGCCAGTTCTTCGACACTGCTGTTTGATTTCTGCAAACATAAGACTATAAATATTGCTTAATTTAAAACATAAACTCGCAAGCGTCCGTCCGCATGATAAATAAATCAGGCCGTTGCTGAACAACAAATTTCATCAGAAAAGCAACGATTCATCTATAATTCCAAGAACTACTTTATCAAAATTTCTACAGCTTCCAATTCATTTGACATCACACATTTTTGTGGATAAGGCTCGAAAAAACATCAACGCCCAGAAAAATTCTTAATTACCGATATCATCAAATTTCTTCCATAAATACGACCAAATTTCACACAAAACACGGAAGAAATCAAGCACGAGAGTCGGAAGAGAGGCAATTACCACATCAGCGGTGAGGAGGAGATGATTGGCCGGAGAGGAGAGCTCCGATTGAAGAGCGGTGAGCTTCTCTTGAGTACGAGCGCATCCTATCACAGTGTGACCTCTCTTGGCCAGCTCGAGAGCTAGGGCTCTTCCCAGACCTTTGCTCACTCCCGTTATCAGAACGGTCCTCGCCGCCACAATAGAGTTCGCAGCCCCACTGAAAGGCGTCGCCATCGTCATCCTTTAGCCAAATGGCCGATTAATTTCTCTTTCTTTGGTGCCGAATATGCCGCGAAGAATATGTATTACACTACACACACTATTTTTTTATTTTTTTTTCAACAACTTTATTAGATTTGTAAGTCTAATTAATTCATTTGTTTACCTTCGAAAGAGAAATTAAACACATAGTTTTCACCATATCTTAGTATCTTACGAAGTATATAACCAAATTATAGTTTTAATTAACTGTTATAAAACTCAATTCGATTTTCACCAAAAACTCTTTTAACTTTTAAGTAAATAAAACTAAAATATTTACAGATGAGAAATGAAGAGATGCTGAGGTCAAGTCACAAGAACATCTCTTGTATTGTTTCGTACTGAGATCACACTGGTCTCCAACGCTCTATCTCTTCTTCGACTTCCTCTGATTCCTCAGCAAATTTAGGAGTCTGGTCGTGTGAGTTTTGTGACCGTCTTCTTTTTCTATGGCGATGAGATCTCTCATTGTATGTTTCTCTATCTGAACTCTCCTCACTTGATAAACCACTTACACCATTTCCCAAGCTTCTTCCACGTCGTTTTCCTTTCCTGCTTCGGTCAGAGTCAGGATCCTGGGTCTTGTATCTATCTCTCTGTTTACTTTTGTCCCTATCTTTATCTGACTGATATTCTTTGCGACTAGTCTCTACACTTCTCTTCCTGTCATTTTCTCCATTAACTGGAAGGTCTGATTCTTTATGCTGATGATGTCTACTTTCAGTTGAATCTTCCTTGTGCAAATATCTTGAGCTGCTTCTTTCATGCCGATCCTTCCATCTTTCTCTCTGCGACTTATCAGAAACTGTATGAACCCTATCATGTTCATGACTCTCCTCTTGATCAGCTGATGACCTTTCCCTGCTGTATTTTCTTGAACTCCTGTGGGTTTTCCTGTCCTTTTCATCGTCTGTCTGTTCTTGTACTTCTGAATCTGTCCGTCTTCTGGATTTTTGTTTGTGAGCCGTCTCTCTCCTACCATAGTCATCTCCATCAGGAGAATCATCATCAGAATACCTCCCATGAATTCTTTTCCTTATCACCCGATGTCCAGGAGAGTGTTCAGACCATCTGCTATCACGATGCAATGTGTCCTTAGCATACCGTCGCTCTTTATACATCTTCCTCTCTAAACTACAGTCTCTGCTAGGACTGTCATCTCCATCATGACAGTTCTCGGCATGCCTGCTAAGTTCGTCTTCACGAGTGCTGTCCCAAGTATCACCATGATATTTACGGCTCCTATAAGAAGGCGTAGATCCAACGCTCGCATGATCATGGTTCCTCGATCTAGATCTTCTTGAAGGTTGCCTGACATGGAAACAAAACACATAAGCATGACGCTCCATAACCAAATTCAGTAGGAAATACACTGATAAGTTAGTTAAAGATGAGGATCCTCAAAAGTTAGAATTCCAAATATAAAGCTACCTACCTGTGTGAATCTGTTGATAGATCTGATCTTGAATTATTTAACGACCCATGTTCCATGTACTTTTCATCTGAATAACCAAATAAAGAGGTCATTTTGTGAATCCAGAATCTTGGAGGTGGTCTGTCATGGTCAGCCCATTCGTAGTCTCCACCAGGATTTCGGAAACAATGTATAAAATTGCAAGCAGATCCACGAGAACAAGTCTGCAAAATAAATGAAAATCATGAACTAGAGATAAGCCAGAAGACGGGATCTCCAGACTAAGAACTAGATGAAGAGTCATACTTTAAGCCTGGACTTCATGTAGTCCCCACATATGGCAACTTTCCATCTTGAGATGTTGACAAACTCGCAATTCACCTAATGAGGATGTGCAATTATCATGGATAAAAATGTCAGCAAGCTGAAAGTAACAGAAATCAAGCCTCACGTACATACACATCAGTAAAGTGTCAAGGCATATTCGAGATGGTGGATATGAATCTCCTGATTTGGAAATTGACGAACCACATTAACTATTCCTTTTTTTGTCATACAACCAATTACTTATTCAATTGAAGATAGATAAATAAATTAATAAGAAAAAGAATGAAAGATATTAGATGGATACCAATTTTAAGTCATTTGATCAGCGAACTAGATGCTACAAGCCTACAGTATTTCGACATTCTATTCTAGATTATACCAAGACTATATTCAACCAGCGGATATGAACAAAAAATGCCACGGATAGGACAAGTGAGACCTCTGACAACACGTCCTACACAAAGGCTAGGTTAAGTGAAACCTAGATAAGGGTCTACAACAGTATGCCAAAAAGATACAAACAGTGAGGAAGAAAATATGATGTGTGCTAATAAAGATCTGACAAGCTAGTGTCAATATTGCACAGGAAGCGGCCCATACAGATCTGACAAGCTAGTGTCAATATTGCACAGGAAGCGGTCCACTAGACCAAATCGTCATTCACATTTTTCAATGAAAGGCAATGGGAAAGGTCTCTAGAGGAACAGTGTACCTGTTTACCAGCAAAGTATCGACCATTAATGGACTGGTAAGCAAGAATAGCTGATTCTAATGATCTGTAGTGCACATATACATTGCCCTTCAAGTGGAATGAGCCATTTCTACACACCTGAAATGGATATAAACATTTGATTTTGAGAAACGAATGGGTAGGACAAAGGTCAGAAGACAAGACATATCTACCACCAAATTTTATCCTCAAACACGGTGTTCCAGTTGGTCTGATAATGATAAAAGATGCTGTGAACCACTAGTTTTCAAAATGGCTAGCCTAGTGTGGCTTGCAGACTCAAGAACTTACATTCGGATTTAGTATAAAATGAATCTATGACTATGGCTGATAATGGAAAGTAAAACAAGAGGGGGAAGAGGAAAAAGGGAAGAGAGGGAGCAGAAGAAAATCGACAGACCTTGAAATTAATAAGTTCTCCATACTTTAGGAACTCTGTATGAACATCTTCATAAAATTCTTCATAACAATGTTCAGCCTCCTCATCTGTATACTGCAAGAAAGGCGGGAAAAGAGAAAGAGAGTAAACTACAGTAAGTGAATAAAAGAAAGGAAGCCAGGTGATATAATGCATGTGACGTCCACTAGTTTTAATATCAAGCATACCAGGATAGCTATAGCCTTACTAAGTTATAACTGCATTAGTTTCTTTTCAGACACTACTAGACCAAAGCAGCCAGCCCCTATGGAAAGACATTTCTGTTCTTAATTCAGGAAAATCAAGCACTTCCAAGGTATTGAGAATCGAATGAATCATTTGTCAAATATCACTCACACCAACGAGCAAAGTAGAAGACACTCAAAGAACATGAAACACCGACAAACAAGTGAGAGATTGACACAACATCCTAGAAATCAATAACTACAAATATACAAACACCAAGTCAAATTAAGTGTGTCTAGTACTGCTATCAAGGTAAGAGAGGGAACGAATACAAGTCCACAATTTTTGATCAAGATAACAATCACATTATAGCTAATCTATCAATCATGTAGGATACAAAGAAGTGAATCGCAACTCCAACCCCGCCAGGTTATAATCATGCACCTCCACTGAAGGGAAACCATCAATGTCTGATGTAAGTTAAAGAAGATAGTCACGAGAATATAAAAACAAACAACATAATTCTGTAAATTCAAGAGCACGCAGCAAAACAGAAAAGAGGCAGAGGAACTGTGGTAGTTTTGATTCAGATTATAAAAGCAAAGAGTAATAGAGAAGGACTAATAATTATCAGGATACTAGCATCACGAGATGACAGCGGTTACAGACCTCAAGCCCCTCATCCTGTTCCCAAGCAATACCAGGACCATTATACATGTTCTTCATAAGTATAGTGCACGATTTATCGGGGTAGAAATGAACTCTGCTACAACGCGGGCCAAACCGACAAGCTCCAGTTTTCAAATGGAAAGGACAATGAGCTTTATCCTGGAGATTGAGAGAAACCGAAGTTACTAAACGGAACATAAGAATGATACATAAAACTAATACCATCTCAATCAAGGGATACAACAAGCACCTGCTCAGTCCCAAAGTTGGGTACTTCTTGTGCAACACTCTCCAAAATCTGTTGCGCAGAACTAACATTCTGATAATTGGCACAGGCTTCAGTTCCCGGAGGTAGAGGATTTGATGTAGGCCTGTCAGAAATCTGCAAAACAAACTCCACATTGGAACTCTAGAAAAATATCAAAACACTGAAGATGATATGTTCACCTAGATGATGGTCAAATACCTCGTTGCCATCGACCTGAACAACCGATTTCTTTGGAACCCTCACTTTGTTCTTTTTGAGAATGATCTCATTTCCCTGGAATATAATTTCTGGAGGCCCTTGTTCGATATATTCATATTCACCATCCTCATCCTCGCCACATTCATCATTCCCACTAGCCTGCCAAAAAGCAAAAAGGGTATGCCAATAAATGTCACATATTCAAATCCAATTCAAAATTAAGATCTCTTCCATGAATTCAGTAGCCACCAAAGTGAGCTCGATATAGCATCAATGTGATATGAATAAAAATTTGACAACAAAGCACTACCTCAAGCTTTCTCAACTCTTCTAAATCCTTCCAACGCCTCTCTTCCTCTTCCCGCTTCGCTTCCTCTTCCTCTTCTTTCTTCCTCTTAATCTCCATAGCCTCTCTCCAAGCTCTCTCACTCTCCTCAAACTCCTTCAACTCCTTCTCTCTCCTCCGCGCCTCCTCTTCCTCAATCGCCTTCAACCTCTCCTGTTCCGCCGGATCGTTCAACTTAGCCTCCGCCTCCTCCCTCTCCTTCTCCGCTATCTCCTTCCTCACTTGCTTCCTCTTCAATTTCTTCATCGCTTTTCGCTTCTCCTTACGGCTCATCTCCGCCAATTTCTCTTTACTCTCTTCAAAACTTTCCTTCTCTCCCAACGCTTCTTCGTGTCGCTCTCCTTCTTCCTTTTCGTTCTTCTGCTCCATCTTTTTCCGGTAGCATTAACCTCTCGCTTCACGGTGGAATAAACACAATTTTAATAATTAGGGGTGCAAATTCGGTTAGATTGAACCGAAACAGTATATAGTTAAGAAATCAAAATAAAATTGGATCAAACCATACCAAACCGGAGAACCCTAGTTGGTTTACCTATTGACCTCAGACTGGTCGGAGCTCTTGAAATTAGATAACTTTCATCGTCTTGTAGCTCAAACCGATTGAGAATTTCTCCACTTTCCGACTATTGATATGTAGCTTTCTCATGAAATTCGAATCTTTCTCCATTTTCACTGCTTAAATCACTCGTCTTTCTTGTATTTGGATTCGTATCTTTTTTGAATTTGCAAACTTAAAGTCAGCGACTTTTTTTGTTTTGCTTTGTCGATTGCTTAATCTTTGTGCAAATTGCATGCGTTGTATTTCCTTCTCGAGTTTCAGTTTGTCTCTTGAAGACGCACTTCATCTTCTCCAACGTTTCTTATACTCCTCAAACCAGATTAAGCAGATTCACACTGTCCTCTTTACCAGCAACGTATTGGTCGCTTCGAGATGGAAGACGAAATCCGTCTACAACACTCTCATTCGATCCTATCTCACTACAGGACAATACAAGACTTCTCTTGCTCTCTTCACTCATATGCTTGCAAGCCAAGTCCAACCAAATAACCTCACTTTCCCTTCTCTGATTAAAGCAGCTTGCTCATCTTTCTCTGTTTCTTATGGCGTTGCCTTACATGGCCAAGCTTTTAAACGTGATGTTCTATGGGACCCATTTGTTCAGACTTCTTTTGTTCGGTTCTATGGTGAAGTTGGTGATTTGAAGAGTTCGAGGAAGATGTTTGATGCTATTTTAGACCCTTGTGTTGTAGCTTGTAACAGTTTGCTCGACGCTTGTGGACGAAACGGAGAGATGGATTCTGCTTTCGAGTTATTTCAGAGAATGCCTGTAACTGATGTGGTCTCTTGGACCACTGTTATCAACGGGTTTAGTAAGAATGGGTTTCACGCCAAAGCTTTAATGGTTTTTGGTGAGATGATACAGAATGAGCGTGCGGTAATAACACCGAATGAGGCTACTTTCGTTTGTGTACTTTCTTCATGTGCTAATTTTGATCAAGGAGGTGTTCATTTGGGGAAGCAGATCCATGGATATATTATGACGAAAGAGATCATCCTTACTACTACTTTGGGTACTGCTTTGCTTGATATGTATGGAAAAGCCGGTGATTTGGAGATGGCATTGACCATTTTCGATCAAATTCGTGATAAGAAAGTTTGCGCTTGGAATGCGATATTATCAGCTCTTGCCTCCAATGGTAGACCTAAGCAAGCGCTGGAGATGTTTGAGATGATGAAATCATGCAATGTGCATCCGAATGGGATCACTTTACTTGCAATACTCACGGCTTGTGCTCGATCTGAACTTGTGGACTTAGGTATCCAGTTGTTCTCTTCCATATTTAGTGAGTACAAGATCATTCCAACATCAGAGCATTACGGTTGCATTGTTGATCTCATAGGCAGAGCTGGACTAATTGTTGAAGCGGCCAATTTCATTAAAAATTTGCCATTCGAGCCTGATGGTTCTGTTCTCGGAGCTCTTTTGGGCGCTTGCAAGATTCATGAGAATGCTGAATTAGGAAACAAAGTAGGTAAACAGCTTATTGTACTGCAACCTCGACACTGTGGCCAGTATGTCGCATTGTCGATGTTAAATGCTTTGGATAGCAATTGGTCAGAAGCAGAACAAATGAGGAAAGCCATGATAGAAGCTGGAATTCGGAAAATCCCTGCTTATAGTGTGCTATCTTAAGGCTTGAGAAGTAAGAATAGATTGTTTCAGGCAAGAGTTACAGTGTAGTGTAATCTATGTTCTGTTCATGTTATGTCAGTAACATTGATCTAATTTACTTCTGTGAGTCTCTTGCTTCTCTAGGTTCATGTTAGGGGTTTGCAGTAATCTCATGAGTTGAACAATAGGAGAAAGCAAACGAGACATTTCACTCACTGATTTGAAGCACAAAACAGGAATCTCAATGTCTCTCCTTACAAGGTTACACAGTTCCTAAGAAAGACTTAATCCAACACATAGACATACTTCACTACTATGCACAGGTGGGATTATTTTACAGGAAAATTAGAAAAACAGTTTTTCTTAATAGGTGAAATAGCCTGATTTTCCGGAGGCGGCTAAATCTGAACTGGTCCTTGCAAAGGAAGGTATATCTCCTACACGATTCATCTTCTTAAACCAATGACCGATGGTCTCAACTCCGAGATAGGAAAAGAGTACCGTCAACGCTCCACCAGCAACGGCGATAATTGCTGGAAATAACCATCGTGTTCCATCGTAATGCGGTATGGTCACCCAAGACGCCGCAATATAAGCTGTTGCCATGAACCCTACAGAAACCCACATCATTCTGTGCGTGGCAACCAGTAATTTCTTCAAGGGTTTCCTCTTGTAAGGTATGATGCTAACAAGAAGAATAACGATGCACAAGGACGTGAACAGTGCGATGTTGTTGCATATCGCAAAGACCTTAAATGCCGTCGTTTTTCCCACTAAGGATTTCCCTCTCCATGGCCCGTCTTGGTAGACGCCCCCCGGAGGGTTTATCCCACCGGCATAAGCAACTGAAGCAATCAAGACTGCTACTATCGCAATCGTATTTCTTGCATTCTGTAATGCTTCTATATGCATCTCATATTCCAAGCTCTGACGACCTCTTTCCACTTCCTGTTCCTTGCTTCTCTTTCTCTCTGCTATCTCTGATGTGTTTATTCCTATAAGCCTAAGCAATCGTATTACCTCGATCTCTTGAGAGCCTTCGTGTTCTACATTGTTCTCAGAATCCAGCTCTTGTAAAGTGTCGGTGCCAAATCTCAGCCACCTTGATAACAACTCAAAGTCTTGGGCTTCTCGAGGGAGAAGTTGAAAAGCTTCAAAACCCATCTTGTTCTTATACATGATATCTACTATATTCTTACCAACAATGTAACGTATAAGCTGCAATTTGTTAAGTAAATATGTGAGAAGAAACACCACTAAAAATAGATTATGTACCATCTTATAGTAATGTAATCCTAACATAGAGTATATGAGAAGTCGAATTTTGTAACTAAAAATTTAAAGAAGAGGGCGACAAAGAAAACTACTCACAGGAGCATCACAAGCGACGGATGCAGCAATATGTAAGACAGTGTTGCCACTTTCATCTGTTTGCTGTAGAAGAATTTGGCTGTTAATTCCCAAACTCTCTGCCATAAAAACAAAGGCATCCATATTTTTGTTTCGAGCAGCGAGATGAAAGACTGTCTCTTTCGACGGCGTGATTGAGCTGAAAGACAATGGAACCTTGTCCAAGAACTCCTCCAGGATTACAACCGAGCCTCTGACGACCGCAAGATGCAGTGGTGATAAACCGTTGGTGTTAAGTGCTTCTTCTAATCCTTGATCGAGCCCTAACAATATACTTGTGAGTTCAAAGTCTTCTTTATCACACGCATGATGCAGTAGCGTTGATTGTGAGCCGTCTTCAATCACCCAAGCTTCTTCTCTAGCTAGGTCTGGAAATCTATCTAGTATAATCCCTGCGATACCTGACCAAGGATCCGAATACAGTAGTAGTGAGCTAGTGATTTTTACACAAGATTACGAAAAATGTTGAGCGCACACTAGAAGAAACTTACTAGTGGATCCACTTGATATGGCGAGATTGAGTTCACCGAGGCCGATTGATTGTGTCTTTTCCGCGAGGAGTCTGGCAGCCTCTATAGAATCGCTACGGAAAGCCAAGTGGAGTGGTGTGTGGTTGTTGATATTGCGTGCAGAACACACTTCCAATCCAGTCTCTAACATCCGCACAACGATGTTTACGTCTCCCAGGACAGCAGCAAGATGCAAAGGTGTGTTTCCGTACGTGTTGCGGGAACAGACGAGGGAAGGACGGAGCTCAACAATCTTGGAGACGAGTTCTTGGTGACCAAGCTTTGCAGCCATGTGCAAAACCGTGTTGTTCAAGCGTTCTTCCTCGTTTCTCTCCTCCAACGACGACTCACTCTCCTCTACCAACTCCAAAAAAGCTGGAAGGTCATTTTTAAGGATCGCATGGAAGATCGGCTGCATCTTTTTTCAAGAAATCTAGAGAAAAGTATGGAAGTTCTTACTCTGGGAGGGAGATCCCAAGTGGTTATATCTTTTTATGATACTCAAATAGACCATGTATAAGAATTCTCAGTATCTTGACATTTTGGATTATGGTATTTACTTATTCTTTTCCAATTTGTATTATATCTATCACTCATTGTACGTAATCTTGAAAATTTTATATTTGTTGACTTCGTAACCAGAAGACTTAAAACACCATTCATACGCTTACAAACTAAAACGCAGGTTCCTCTCTCTTTCTTTCACGCGCAATTCTTTAGTTTTTCCACAAGAAAATAATTACATTCCATTAGCAAAATAATGTGAACTCGTCTTCATACACGTTAAGATAAGAGGTGACGTACTCGTAAAGACATGACAGGACTAGGACTAAAACTTAAAACTCTGGACAATTCCAAGGCAATGGATATATCACAAACTCAAGAATCAACTGGCTCAATGGCACCTTTTCATCATCTTTTCCTGTCACGACTGAGTCAGAGCCCATCTGTGAACAAATGTTACGGTAACAATAAAACTAGGTGATTGGCTCACAGCATGTAAGGGCGTTAATGTTGTCAGTAAATTTCGGTCTAATTCACTTCTGTTATAGCTCTTGCTTCTCTGTTCGCAATATTCTCATGAGCTGAACAAGAGAAAGCAAACGAGACATTTCACTCACTAATTTGAAGAACAAAACAGGAATCTCAATGTCTCTCCTTTACAAGGCTACACAGTTTCTAGAAAAGACTTAACCCAACACATAGACATACTTCACGGTCTACACAGAGCCTTATGAAACCAGAATACATATTAATTAACATAGGAGCATCCCCACAAAACCAAATTACACCAAGAAAACTTCTAGCTTCTATCTTTGCTTTTCATACCAATTACTATCTCTCTGTTCCTCTTTCACTACTCATACAGAGTCAAATAGGCCAAGTGCTACTTCAAAACGATCTGTTCTGTCTGTGGCAGCCATTATTAGATCTCCGATATCCAGTCTTATTCGATTCGGGTTTTTAGTCTTTCTTATAACACAAGAAGTTTACAAAGGAAAAACGTACATGTATGTACACTGAATTGACTATCAGCTTCCTGTGGAATCCGTTGTTAAAGAAGATCAATAGCTTACTTGAAAACTAAATGTAAACTCATCAGCTTCCACCAAGAACTCTCTTGAGGTCATTCTTCTGTTCTGACGTTAGTCTTGACGGGAACAAGATCTCAAAGTTGACTCTGAGGTCTCCTCTCTTCAAAGGGTCTTTAGTAGGCATTCCTTCATTTGGGATCACAATCTCCTGACCCGGTTTTACGATATCCAGAACCGGGATCGTTAGGTTCCTCCCGTCTAGAGTGGTTACGCTAATGGTGAGGCCCGTTAAAGCATCTATAAGAGAGACTTTCTTCTCGAGAATCAGATCGTTACCGTCTCTTTTGAATACCGAATGCGGTTTCTCGTCAACCACGAATATGAGATCTGCGGGAGTGACACCAGGTTCTTGATTGCCTTTCTCTGGGAAAGTTATCTTTGTGCCTTTCTTCCAACCTGGTTTTATGTCTATCTTCAAAATCTCTTGGACAGTCTTTGGCTTTCTGTAATCAAGATATCATCAATCAGAAGGACAAAATCAAAGCTCACTAGAAGCTCAATCACAGAGAAAACAACAGTTGTAGAACCTAGTCACTACAAAATCTTATAGTGAAGATCATCCAACAATATAAGAAAACATCATCAACTGGATCACATGAGAAAATGGCAAAATCAATCATTCACTGAAATCAACGACTAACGAGATCGATCAATGGCATTCACGAGATCAGGATTATGAGAAACTTACCCAAAATCATCGGGCACAACGCGAGAAATGCGCATCTTCTTCTTGGCACCTTTGTAGAGCTCCTCCAGTGTGCAAGCCAATTTACTCTCAATAGCCGGCGCCTTCCTATTCGCCGGCGGCGTCGTCTTTTTGTTCGCCGGCGGCGTCTTTCTATTAGCCTGGCTCCCTGCTTCTGCACTTTTGAATCTCCGGCCACCACCGTCACCGCCATCTCCACGTGTCCTTCCGCTACTCCCTCCGCCAAAAGTATCTCCGGATTCGCCGAAAAACTCAGCAAAGATATCTTCAGCATCACGCGGATAATACCGAAACTCAGAGTTGCTAGAAGAGTAGCTCCGCTGCTGCTGATGCGCCGCCGTCTCCGCCGCAGTAGGTAAATCGGTGGATTTAAGACCTTCTTCACCGTACTGATCGTAGATCTGACGTCTCTGAGGATCGCTCAAGACGTCATAAGCTTCAGAGATCTGCTTGAACTTAGCTTCAGCTTCTTTCTTGGTCGTAGGGTTTTTGTCAGGGTGCCATTTCATAGCCATTCTCCGGTAAGACTTCTTCAGATCATCTTCGTTAGCGTTTCGATTCACTTTTAGCACATTGTAGTAATCTACCCCCATTGATCCAAATCTTTCACCAAACAAAAAAAAAAGTCAAAACCACAAAATCGAGAGAATCTTCAGCTGAAATCGAAATTCTGTAGAGAAACTTGAATTTCAAAGAGATTGCAGAAGAGAAAAAGGAATCGGATTCGAGATTTTTTTTTGAGTAAAATCTGAAATTGGAAGAGAAAAAAAGGAAACGAAGAGTGGAGTGCGTGTAAGGTAGAAGAAGAACATGACAAAGGAGAATGAGAAAAATTATTCTTAATGGAGCCACGTGGCATTTATTCTTACTTTATCTTTAACTTCATCTTATGGTGAATGGTAAATAATTGATCACTATCATTTTCATATCTCCTTTTTTATTAGACAAAAATTCTCTTGATAGCTTAATTGGAAGTTACATAATGGGACAAATTTGTTTGTATCTCATTTTTTTAATTAATGAAACAGAAACAAACATTTTTAGTTTCGTACTTAAAGTTAAACAAGAAAGAATTATTACTTTATTTAGCCGACAAAAAAAAAAACAGATACAATAATTAAACCGACCAAACTACTTAATTAATGTAGATAATTAGTGTATTAATTATTAAATTATTAATTGTGTATATCAATCTTGGAATTGCACAGACTGGATACCAAGTTAAAGTCTGGTTGGAACATCGACTAAGTGGTTTTGGTAATTACAAAAATAAATGTTATGGCAAATCACAAAGAGCATGGTTTTAATTATCCATTTTTATATGTTTGGTACACTCATGTAAAATTTGATCTGAGGTAATACGGATCACAACTCAAAGATTATGAATGAATATGCAAAAGACATAAATAATTATGGCTGTGCTTAATCCATTGGACTAATAAAACATAACTTACATCCTACTAAACCATTTTATGCTTGCGGCTTAGGAAAGAGCTTCCTTGCGAATTCAGCGAGCTTTGTAATCTCGGGCATAATAGGTTTCACAGCTGGGTCATCACAGAACCGCTCTGCCCATTTGGCTAGAGAAGGAGTCTTGGTCTCATCAAGAAATTTATGATTGGCATCCAACTCCACAACTCTCCACCAACCCAAGAAACTTCCGAGGGCAATGTCCAGGTAACCGATATGGTCACCGTTGAAGAACGGTTTTCCTTTGCTGCAATCGTTGAATGCTTTCTCCAGAAGCTTGGTCCTTTCTTCGACTTGAGCTATGGCTGCATTCTTCTCCTCTTCTCCTTGAGCTGTTAGGATACTTCTCAGAGAGATAAACCACTTCCATTCATATCAAATTAAGTCAGAACATATTATAAGATTTAATTAAGATTAGCTTATGTAATATGTATAGTAAGGAACATAAACAAAATGTCTAATTTCTTTCAACATAAAGTTGACTAATTACCTCCTAACTATGGGTTATGAAAGTTAGTTGAAGCTGGAGTAGTCCAACCCTATCCGGTTTAAATCGGTCATATAGTGTTATTCTAGATTCTTAACCGGATTAAACCAACAACAAGCAGAAAAGAACAGCTAAATTTTGGGGATGTCTTAAATTAATCAAAACCCACATAATCTATTATAATTCCCAGTATACTTTGTTACATGCAAATCCAAGTTAAAACAGCAAAGTGAAGAACAAACTATGAACCTGATCGTCTATGTAGGCAGCCCAAAACCGTGCGATGGCCCGGTCGTAGGGATGTGATGGGAGAATGGACGGTCCAGATGAGTTCCAAGCCTCGTCGATGTACTGAACGATGATGTTGGACTCGCACACCGGTTTGTCAGCGTGAATCAGAACCGGCATCTTCTTGTGTACCGGGTTTGATTTGAGGAGCAATTCGCTCTTTGAACCAAACGTCTCCTGGAGGAATTCGTAGCTAATAGATTTGAGGTGGAGAGCGATCCTCGCCCTCATGACGTAAACACTCGCCCATGAGCCGATCAGCTTCACGTCTTCAGTCGCCATTTTATCCCGGAGATTAAGAACCGTCAAGGACTCGGAGACAGAGAGAAGCTTATAAACGGGTTAAGAAGATCGTATGAAAGCTAGAGGGTAGGTTTCAATTAGAGGGTTTAGGTAACGGATAATGAAGATATACGAATTAAATTTCGACACGTGTTACAGACTTGTAAACGAGTGGTGAAAAATTGAAGTGTGGCCAATATCTGCGTGGCAACAATGAAACGATTACATCCTGGCATTGGGACCATTTCACGTGTTTGTTGATTCTTCTATGAATAGTGAGTTATAGATTATATGCAATAATTATAAATTTCTTACTTCTCAATCCACATAACCTAAAATTAAATCATTCACCAAGTCTGATACAAACGTAACGTTCAACATACACCTGATTAAAACACACACACAAAGATAAAGCCATCTATATAAAACTCTTAGTTTATTCTTGCAAGAACTCGACCCACAAATACAAAACCTAGTTCACCAACAACTTAGGCCTCCGGCCTAGGAAAGATCTTCTTTGCGAATTCAGCAAGCTTGGCAGTCTCTGGCATGACAGGTTTTACAGCGGGATCATTACAGAAATTCTCAGCCCATTTGGACAAAGAAGGTGTCTTGGCCTCATCAAGAATTTTATGGCTGGCTGCTAACTCGGTGACTCTCAACCAAGCCAAGAAGCACCCGAGAGCAATATCTAGGTAACCGATGTTGTCACCGTTGAAGAAAGGTTTTCCTTTGCTGCAATCGATGAAGGCCTTTTCCAGAAACGCATTCCCTTCTTCTAGTTGAGCTATCACAGCTTTCTTCTCTTCTTCTCCTCCGGCTTTTAGGAAACTTCTTAGAACGACAAACCACTTCATTCATATCCATCAATGTCGAACATTGAAATAAAAGATTAATTAATGTCATAACCTTTACATTGTTATGAAAATACATAACAAAACATCTACTTTATTTTAAAACTAGTTTCTTGAGTTCTTGAAAACTGTGTTTTAAAACATATACATTTGAGTTTCCATTCACTTTTCAAATTAGACTCTAAAATGCTATGTTTTGCGTACATGTAAGATATCATATATATATTTTTTTTTTTTTTTTTTTTTTTTTTTTTTTTTGTAAGATATCATATATAAACTAGTAAACACAAAAAATTAAGACAAATATTTGCTTTGCAAAAACTCTGCACTATAGATAAAAACTTATTTATTGTGAACAAACCCTAAAGATCAAATTAAATAAAATCTTGATGAGCAAGTGAAAGAAGAAAAGAAAATTACCTTTTCGTCAATGTAAGCAGCCCAGAACCGAGCCATTGCCCGGTCGTAAGGATCGGAAGGGAGAAGGGACGGTCCAGATGAGCTCCAAGTGTCATCGATATACTCGACGATGATGTTAGACTCACACACCGGTTTATCAGCATGAAGCAGAACCGGAATCTTCTTGTGAACCGGGTTTGATTTAAGAAGCAACTCGCTCTTAGACCCAAACGTCTCTTGAAGGAACTCGTAAGGGACAGACTTGAGGTTAAGAGCAATCCTCGGCCTCATCACAAAGGGACTCGCCCATGCACCGATCAGCTTCACGTCGTTGCTTGCCATTTTCTCTTCAAGATCCAAAACAGAGGACTTGGAGTTGGTGCGTGTGAATGTGTGAGAGAGGATGTAATGGTTTGACACGTTGAAGCGTTTATGTTAGACCGGTGTGGCGTTATATGGAAAGGAAGAGGGTAGGTAAATTTGATGGCGGTGATAGATACCAAAGGATGGCCAATTAAAATAGTACACGTGTATTAAACGGGTGGGAAAACGTTGAAATGTTGGGCCATCAATTTATTGTGGTCGACGAGACGTCGTTTATATATGTGGCAGCAATTGAAAGTGAAACCCATAAAACCCGCAAATGTTCATCCACTTATTCAAATTCGTATTTCATGTAATCATGTTCAATATACCAAATTACCAATACCATATCTTTGTTTTAACGATTCATGATGTGAACAATGAACTGCAGTCACGAAAAAAAAAACAAAAGAATATACGTTTCCATTTTGTTTTTTTGTTTTTCTTACGCTTTCAGTTCATGGTTTCCACTCAATTTCTTAACATTAATAAAATTGTTTTACGTACGGCTATCATCTTATTTTGTATGTGAGTCAGGCAAAACGAAACTACATAGATGAAACCAAAAATATATCGAGTGTTGGAATAGTATAGATCTTGGTGACTAGGTTCCTCCAAAATGAGATTGAACCTTGCGCTATACATTTATTTAGGAGAGACGTCGATTCCTTTAAATGTACGATGAATCACGTGACTACAGGCCCAAAAGGAATTCAAACTTCTTCGATTAGGAAAAAAATAAACCAAGAACATGTATATATAATATCTACGATTCTTGACAAAATGAGAACTCTCACATGAGAAAGATCATACATATCTTTAGTCATTTTGTGAGTAGGAAAATGTGTTACTTAGTCAAGTTGTTGATTATGTTGCATCCTGAGTTCTCTGATTTTGAAAATATGAGTTTTATGATTATGATTCTGGAATAGTGCTGTAAAGTGTGTGTGGATTTAAAACCCAAAAACAACAAAAAAGTGTGTGTGGGCGTATTGTATAATTCCTTTTTTATGCTCCTTTCATATCTCATCCTTATAATCCAATGTAACGAAATAATTTTATTTTCTTGATTTCCAAACTAGTAAAGTTGACATGATTAAACAAGGTTTTAGCTCTTATTCCAATATTAAAATTGTGATAATCGTGGCTTAGTTATTCATATTCTTACAATCTTTTTAATTTTATTTTGGATGGTTTGTAAGTTCTATACTTAAAAATACATTTTCCTAGAAACATCTAAATATATTTAATTTGATGAGTTAGTGAAGTATTACAAAATAAAATAAAAGAAAGTGGATCGAATGATAACAGTCTAACAGCTAGCTATCATCAAATTGGTTTAAGTTAAGAGGTTTGACTCATTTTTCGATCATTACAGAATTCATTTTTCTTTTGTGATAAATTTTACATAAAAAGAATATTGGAATAACTGCAAAATGAAGTATTCTGCAGAATTCATTTTTCAGTGCAGAGTTCATTTTTCTTGTGCGATAATTTTTTCATAAAAAAAAAAATTGATCGACTTCCAGAACAATCTCATGAGAAGAATACCAAAGAGAATAATACATTTGCAAGATGCATTATATCTTCACTAGTTATAACTACACATACATTATAAAAACAATCTAAAGTTGAGAATTTTGTGCAACTTTAGCCTTTTAGGTTTCTTTACTATATTCTCTTGAATCTAATTCCCTTATCCTGCCCGTTTTCCTTGGTTGGGTGGGGACTTTAGAGTGAGTGGGCACTTAACATTAATGATGTTTTTGCAATATTATTATGTCTTATAGGCCTTATTTCCTGGTTAGTTCGGGACACCCCTAAAGGCACATTTTGTCTAAATAACAATATACGTTCTTAAATACATTTTTCTATACCCATGCTTTCAATTTCTTAATAGATTTTATCATTCTTATCACTTACATTCCTCAAATTAAAGAGCCCACTACACCATCAATTTCACAAACTTTGGTCGATCAATATTCGAGTTAAAGAATATTGTTACAATAACACGTACGCGAGTGAGAAATATCTATACCCACATAAAAAGATTGTCATAGTAGTACATAACTATCTTTGTTCAATTTTCCAATAACAAAAAATTTAGCTTATTGAGACATTCGCATTGCCCAAACGTCGAATGCCATAAATAAATAAAAATGACCAGTTTTATGTTGTATTTTGTATAAACCATCGCTAGAATTTATTATTTTCCAATGAAAGTTGCTCGTGTATATAATCAAGCCTATATGCATGTTAGTGTTTTCACTATAAATTTATAGGGAATTCGAATGTTATGTTTGTACTTCTTCTTTTTTGCAAGTCATTATCTTTTTTTTTTTTTGGTAGGATTTTGCAAGTCATTATCTAATGTTGTAATCCGTCATACGATGGTATGTATAGACAACAAAAAACAATCTATTATCAAAGAACCAAAAAAAAAAAAAAAAACCAAAAGAATCTAGGATTTAACAGAAAAAGCCTATATGTATATACAAATTAATATTCTTCTATATATTGGCAAACATCTACGCCTATATTTTGGATATAAATATTCACATATGCAAATTAGTATCCCTAGCTCTTAGCATTGCATCTATATTAGGTTACATTCACACTCTCAATTCATCTATAATTCACATTTCCCTCTCCCCTTTTCTGAAACGTCTAGCTATCAAATGAGTTTGAAGCGTTCTTCTTCTTCTTCTTTCTTTTTCTTTCTCTTTTTCTTCTTCCTTCTTTCTTCTCATGCCTCCTCACAAGCTTGCCAAAAAACATGCGGCCAAATACCCATCAAGTACCCGCTCGGAACCGGGTCAGGTTGCGGTGACCCACGTTTCACACGTTACATCACGTGCGACCCGGACCAACAGACTTTGACGCTCACCACCCACACAGGCTGTTACCCTATCACTTCCGTCGACTACGCCAAGCAAGAGATCTACGTCACCGACCCGTCCATGTCCACGTGTGCATGTACCCGACCCAGCCATGGATTCGGGTTGGATTGGGACGCTCCGTTTTCTTTCCATGACGACACCGTTTTCACGCTCCTTGACTGTTCCGTAGACGAATCCCCTGTTTTCACGCCGTTAAGTAACGGTAGCGGACGTGTCTCCCTCTGTGACCGTCAAAGCTCCTCTATTTGCACCTTCTTGTACTCCAATTGCAGGTAACCCAATAATTCAAATTAAACCGGGCTACTATTCTATCTAAACCGGAAAAATTATTATCGGAATAATTCAAATTAAGAATATAACTGAAATAAAAGTATATTAAATATTTTCAAAACATTAATCGATATATATGAAAAATGCAATATATCTACTTTCGGAAACAGTAATAAAGTCTGGTATGATAAAACCGGTTCGAATTGTTATGAAACCGGTTTAATTTTGGTTTTGAGTGTAATATAAAGCCGGTTTGTAACTCTATTTTCGGATTGGCAGGGCGATAAGTCTAATAAACCTTCAAGTATCAACGTGCTGCGTCTACGTGCCTCTTGATCTCGGACCATCGTTCGAAATGGATCTGAACAAACTCAAGTGCTCGTCGTACTCCGGCTTCTACAACCTCGGCCCGGGCCAAGAATCCCATCCGGAGAATTGGAACTACGGAATCGCACTTAAGTACAAGTTCAACGTTTTCGATGAGTACCCTGGCGTCTGCGGTGGCTGCGAGCGTAGTAACGGTGCTTGTGGCTTCAACACTCAGACAAGCTCGTTTGTTTGCAACTGTCCCGGTGGGATCAACACGACATCGGATTGCTTCTTCCTTTATAACTCTGCTTCTATTCTTGTTCCTTGGTTCTCAAGTAAGCACCACTCTCACACTTCTACTATATTTAGTCAAATTATTAATTTATATTGAGCACTACACTGTCTCATAGATAATCTTTGTCTCAGCTATAACTTAGTTCTTCTCAATTGAATTTTCAGACAAAAACTTTTTGTTTTTTTTTAAGCAGGAGAATGGGTAATGTACCCTTTGTCATGGGTTGTTGTTTGGATGGTGATGAGTCTGCGTTAAAGGAGTTAAAGTTTTTGTGTTAGTCAATTCAATCAGGGAGCATCAAAGGATGGAGTGGTTCGAAGAGAAAGCTTAATAGATCGAATCTTTGCTTCTTCTTTCTATAACTTTGTGATATGGCAGTATAAGATTCTCTATTGCTTCTCTCTTTGCAATATTATTCAAATCACCATTTATCTTATTTGCTTTTTCTCCACTTTCCAGCTCATAAGGAATCACCACATTATATTAATGCTAAACACTAGCAAAGAATCGTAATGATGATATTAGTCAACTCGCTGAGACTATACTTATACTTCAATACTTTTTAATCTGAAAATAAAAATGACGTACCTATGGATTACAAATACAATAACAGAGCTTTACCGTTTTAGATTGTGTAGAATTTGATCAAACAGAGATCTTAACCTAGCTAACTATGACATTTCACTCATCTTGTTAAATATTGGACAAAAAAATTGCAAAATATATTATTTATGTAAACTAGAGATTATCATCGCATGCCATGAGCAAGGATGATATAATTTTACTTATAGGTGCAGTCTGGTTTATAATTGGTGCCATTTGGATTAGTTCTATCAGTACTTTTACTATAAAAACTGAAACCATGAACGCCATTTTTATTTTTGTTTAGCTTTAATGTAGATTTACGAGTTTAAAATATTTTTCGGTATGCAGTTTCAGTTTGATATTGAAAAGTTGGATAATTTGGTATTCTTCTATGTTTTATTAAAACTGAAACATTTGCTTGTGATTTGCTTTGGTTTGGTTTCTAATATTTTTTTGTGTTAAAATATTTTTATATAACTATGAACCAATAGTAACCTAAAACAGTTAATTATTTTCAACCATTAAATTTACAAATTATAAATATCAGTCAATAAAAAAATCTAAAAATTTACTCTTTGGGGAACAAACAAAAAAAAACCTAGAACATCAATCTTTTAGGAACAAATGGAGTAATAAATAGGAATTGGTGTAGGGAAATTAGGGTTTGTAAAAACGGTGAGAAATGAACTTCCGCAGCATTCTGATTAGGGCTTCCGGTTATCCTCAACTCTGGAAGAGGGCATGTACAACGGTCGCTGCTCCGTTGTCGGCTGATCTATGCGAAGGAGATTCCAAGAAGGCGAAGGCGGCCTCAAGGAAGCTGGAGAAGGAGACGATGTTTGAGAAGCTGCAATCTCTCACTGGTGAATACTTAGATCTCATAACGAAAGAGCAGAAGGAGAAGAGAACTTCATTGACTGTGGCGGATCTCGCCGGCTGGGCGAAGCGTCTTTTCAAGGACGGGAAACATGATCATGCTCTTGAGGTCTGTCTAATCGATCAGAATTGATCATCAAAAGTGTTTTTTTTTGTTGTTTCCGATTAATAATGAATGTTTTTCGTTGTTTGTAGATCTACGAGTGGATGGAGAAAAAGAAGATGAAATTTTCTCCCTCACAGTTTGCAGATTATGTGGAAGTTGTGGGTGATTTGAAAGGCTTCGAAGCTGCTAAGGAAGTGTTTTACAGAATAGACCCAGAGTTCGACCAGATGGACCTTGATGCCAAGAATTTGCCAGCTTTCTTGATGCTGGTGAGGTTTGACGCATTGGCCTTCGAAGATCCTGTTGTTGAGAGACGTCGTGAACATTTTCTTGTTGGGAGACGTGGTGAATATGCTATGTTTGAGAAACGTGGTCGTAGAGGACTGCCTTCCCTAGAGGATGAGGATCCTTTACCTCTTAGACGATATTGATGGTAATGCTATAATGGCGTCATAATGGAATGTGTCTTATTGAATAAAGCACGCACTGAAAGCGTCTTTCAATCCTTGTATTTCTTCTTTCTTAATGGTTGTGTCTCTTCCTTACTTTGTATCTTTGTCGGAAATGCTTTTATCCAATCTTGTATTTCTTCTTTCTTAATGGTTGTGTCTCTTCGTTACTTTGTATCTTTGTCAGAAATGCTTGTATCCAACCAGCTGTTGATTATTATTGTTTTACTAGTAAATTTGCATGAAAAAAATGATCAAAGATAGGGGTGTGCCATTGAAATTGAAGCCTAGACACGAATAGTTGTTATTTTATAGATCTTACTGGGCCACGCTACCTTCATTTTGCATACCCATTGCTGTGTTCTCCTTCTTGATGTTATTATTAGTTGATATCATTATTATCTATGGCACTTGTAAACATTTCAAAATTTTGCAATCCAAGATGACCAAGTGTCATCATTCAATTTTCGAGGAAATGAATATTTTTCTCATGAATTTTGGATTCAGTCGCATGGATTTGGTTTCAGCTAAAATGAATATTCCCACAGTTTATAATTTGTTTAAAACTATAAACGATTGAAATCGCGGAACTAAGCATGAAAAATGTTACTTGTTCAAAAATACTTAGAAAAAAAAAATTTAACTACAACTGATTAGCATAAAAAAAGGATCCAATAATTAAGATTGACCAAGAAGTATTCTTAAATAATTGTGGCCCAGAAGCCCAGTAATGGCAAGGACGTGGAAGCAATATATGTATGTCGCGTGAGACCCACGCGCTTCCGTTTTTCCCAGAGTCAAGGAGTCTCTCTCTCTCTGGCCTTCCTGTACCCAAATTTGCCGCCTTCTCCTTCGCATTCCCAATCTTCCTCCTCTGTTTTCATCATTCAATTTCTCTATCGTTTTTTTTTTTCTTTGCCTAGTGGATCTGGAAATCTTTTGAAAATGGAAGCGAGAGAAAGAGGATCAATGTCGTCTAGCATCGGCAATTCCGCTGAACTCGAAGGGAATCTGACACTAAGTGATCGTCTCAAGGTTTTCAAAGGCTCAACTTTCGATCCCGAAGCTTACGTCACCTCCAAATGCCAGCGTATGAACGAAAAGGTCTTTTTCCTCCTCATCAAAAATGTTCCTTTCGTTGTACAGTGTGTGATCTTGTTTGGTCAATGTATTGAATTTGATCATAATTAGATTAGCTCTCCAAGTGTTTGTGAAAATGTTAGAATCTCATGAGGTATTATTGGTGGTGTGTTTTTGGGTTACAGGAGACAAGGCATTTGTCTTCCTACCTCGTTGAATTGAAGAAAGCTTCTGCAGAAGAGATGCGTAAGAGCGTCTACGCAAACTACGCTGCCTTTATACGGTCTGTGTGTGTGTGTGTGTTATCTTCTTATCATTATTTGTTGTTAGTTAGGTTCTTCAAGTAGTTCTTGATGATGTGCAGGACATCTAAGGAGATTTCAGCTCTTGAAGGACAGCTTCTTTCTATGAGAAACCTTCTCTCTGCTCAAGCAGCTCTTGTTCACGGCTTAGCTGATGGCGTTCACATTAGTTCCTTGTGCGCTGATGACGCTGACGACTTAAGAGACGAAGACTTGTATGATATGGATAACAAACAGTTGTCCAAAATTGAGAATTGGGTTGTGGAGTTTTTTGATAGGCTTGAAGTTCTCTTAGCTGAGAAGAGAGTTGAGGAATCCATGGCTGCGTTAGAAGAAGGGCGTCGTGTGGCTATAGAAGCACATGAGAAACGGACTCTCAGTCCCAGCACTCTTCTTTCTCTGAACAATGCAATCAAAGAAAAGAGACAGGAGCTGGCTGACCAATTGGCAGAAGCTATTAGCCAACCTTCTACAAGAGCAGGCGAGCTTAGAGCAGCCGTCTTGGCTCTCAAGAAACTCGGGGACGGTTCTCGCGCCCACACATTGCTTCTTAGGTCTTACGAGCGGAGGCTACAAGCCAACATTCAAAGCCTAAGAGCTTCTAACACTTCCTACGGGGTAGCATTTGCCGCTGCGCTCTCTCAGCTTGTTTTCTCAACGATTGCTCAAGCTGCAAGTGACTCTCAAGCAGTTGTTGGAGAGGATCCGGCCTATACATCAGAGCTTGTGACATGGGCGGTTAAACAAGCAGAGTCGTTTGCTCTTTTGCTGAAAAGACACACCTTGGCTTCATCTGCTGCTGCAGGAAGCTTAAGGGTAACCGCAGAGTGCATCCAACTCTGTGCATCCCACTGCTCTTCATTGGAGTCTCGCGGTTTAGCTCTTTCCCCTGTTTTGTTGAAACACTTTAGGCCGGGTGTGGAACAAGCACTGACTGGAAATCTCAAGAGGATTGAACAAAGCAGTGCCGCTTTAGCTGCTTCGGATGATTGGTCACTCTCTTATACACCAACAGGATCACGCGCCTCATCAACTACTCCCATTGCACCGCATCTCAAGCTTTCTATAAGCGCTCAAAGATTCAACTCCATGGTTCAGGTAATCAACATTTCTCTGCAAAGACGATCATATTTGCTGCTTCCGTTTATCTTCCTTCTTGCTATATAAGTTTGTTATTTCTGTGGATTTTAGGAATTTCTGGAGGATGCTGGACCGCTGGACGAAGCATTACAGTTAGACGGGATTGCACTAGACGGTGTTTTGCAAGTGTTTAACTCGTATGTTGATCTCTTGATCAACGCATTGCCCGGTTCAGCTGAAAACGAAGAGAATCCAGTTCATAGAATAGTTAAAGTAGCTGAAACTGAGTCCCAGCAAACGGCTTTGTTAGTCAATGCACTTCTTTTAGCAGACGAGCTAATCCCCCGTTCTGCTTCTAGGATTTTGCCACAAGGTGCGAGCCAATCCACTCCAAGAAGAGGTTCCTCAGATAGACAGAACCGACCAGAGCACAGAGAATGGAAGAAGAAGCTTCAAAGATCAGTGGATAGACTAAGAGATAGCTTCTGCAGACAACATGCACTTGAACTTATCTTCACTGAAGAAGGAGAAGTCCGTCTCAGCTCTGAGATTTATATCCTCATGGACGAAACCACTGAAGAGCCTGAATGGTTTCCTTCACCAATTTTCCAGGAACTGTTTGCGAAATTGACGAGAATAGCGATGATTGTGAGCGATATGTTTGTGGGAAGAGAGAGATTCGCGACGATATTGCTGATGAGACTGACGGAGACAGTGATTCTTTGGATATCTGATGATCAGAGTTTCTGGGAAGAGATGGAGACAGGAGATAAACCATTAGGTCCACTTGGTCTTCAACAGTTTTATCTTGACATGGAGTTTGTGATGATATTTGCCTCCCAAGGAAGGTACTTGTCGAGAAACCTTCATCAAGTGATCAAGAACATTATAGCTCGAGCCGTCGAAGCAGTTTCAGCCACTGGACTCGACCCTTATAGGTACGTATTTATTATTATACGCTACAAATATAAACATACGTACGTATGATGGTTTGATGATGATGATGGATGATGAAACAGTACGTTGCCGGAGGAGGAGTGGTTTGCGGAGGTAGCTCAGATAGCGATAAAGATGTTGATGGGAAAAGGCAACTTCGGTGTCCACGGAGAGCGTGACGTTACTAGCCCCTCTGTTTCCTCTGCTAAATCTTACACCAGTAATTGACTAATCTAATAATTCTATAATTAATTAAGGACTTTTTTTTATGTAGGCATTAATTAAGGACTTTTGTTTGTTATCGTAGAATTATAGTTTCTTTTTTTTTTTTTTTTTTTTTTGACATCAGAATTATAGTTTCTTTACACGCCTAATATATGGATTTGTTTTTATATATTTTTCTAATTGTCTTAATGTAGAGATTAGGCAGCCAAAGATTTTCTCTCTCTTTTTTTTAAAAAACACCAAGGTTTTTCATCGTAAAGTATTTTAATTACATAATGGATTAGTATTAACTAAATAAGATTAAAAATATATATTTAAAAGAAATCTGCTATATAGAGAGATAGGGACAAAAACATGAGCTAAGTTTAAGCGACCTTTTTTTGTAAAACTTTAAAATTCAAAGTTGGATTAAGATTATCCCAAAAAAACCCGACTTTATCTCCTTCCTTGAGCTGCCTATCAAAGACGACAAGAAGCCATTCAAGGTTCAAGAAATAGCCCACCTCATCATAATTAATAGTGATGTCATATGTTTTCTCTGTATCCCAATCATAAAGTTTCACTACCACGCATTTGTTAATGTCAAACTTGTAGCCCCATCTCTCGATTATTTCTTCTTGGGTCTCTTTCGTTGGTAATCTAATTATATACGGTGTATCTTCTACTTTCACCGTCGTTGTTATGACCCATGGATCGTACTGAGCAAGTCTCAGTTTCGTATTGATTTTTTTAGGCATTTTCTTTTCTGCTTTCCGTTCGGTTTTTGTTTTTGTGACGAGAGCGATATGACTTTTGATGAATTGAAGCTCATGGACTCACTTATTATTTATAATGTTCGGTATGGGAGATAAAGGTCTGTATTTGTGTTATAAAGTTCACGATTGCATGCATGAACAATTCATTAATACAAGTAAAGAAGATGAATGTCAATAAATTTAATTCAAAGAAAGACTTATTGATGTTTTAATTAGCTTCTTTATTAGTTATATAGTTTATAAAGCTTAGATTTGCAAATGTACATTAATTAGAAGATCTATAATCAGAGCCGGACCGGAGGACATTGGTATGAAACATTGCAATGGGGCCCCCATTTTAGAGGGGCCCCACAAAATTATTTTTTTGTAATATATATGTATATCATTTATTATATATAGATCTTAAAATATTTTGTGTACCTAAAAAATATATAATTGAATGATAAAAAAAAAAATAGTAAGTTATTTTTTCTCTACAACCACAAGATTTTCCATCTAATAAGAGAAAATATTTTATTTAAAGAAATTCTAAAACAATCAAGAGTAATTTGCTTTAACAAATTATTTTTATTCTAGTTTTTTTTTTATTTTATGAAAATTTTGATATTATTTTTTTTTAAATCGTTTGGGGCTCCCAATTTTGTTGGTCCGGCTCTGTCTATAATTCTTTATAGCTTAACAGGCTTAGATTCCAATGTATACATTAATATTAAACACATGCAAAAGTTGATGCTTCGATGGTATTGTTGTCACTTGAATACAACACAAATTCTTAGCTTTTTACGTTATGGATGTTCAATAACTTGATATACAAGAAACAGAGATAGGGCAGGTTTCACTTTTGGCACTGTTACTCTCAAAGTCTCTACTCTCGAGAGAATATGTAAAAGAAGAAAAAAAAACAGTTTCGTTCAAATACAGTAACAGATACCATAGGTCCATTACACGGTACACACCGAACCCCCCCCCCAAAAAGGAGAAAATTATAAGGAAACAAGAAAAAACTATGAGAACAAAAAAAAAGGTATAGAAAGAAACACACAACAAATGGAGTAGGGCACTATCTGCTACTGCACAATTCCAACATTCACTACACAAAACAGATCAATTCCAAGAGAGTAACACTGAGATGAGACCCTAAACTTCATCTTCGTCTTCGTCGCCAAGCTTATACGAACTAAAATGCTCGACCCGAAACTTCCACTCACCTTTCACTGGATCAAAGGACACAAACTCAGCTCCTTGTGCCTCGGCTTTCTTCTTAAGCATCATTTTATACTTCTCCACTCTCTCTCCTTCAGTAAACTGTTTCCCTGTCTTCTTATCAATACATTTTATGTTCAGCAACGTTACTTCCGCCGGTTTATTCAAACCTTGCCCAACAGCCGGTTTTTTGCTCTCGTCCATGTATACAATCACTTCCCGTGTATTGAACTGAACCAGTGATTCCAAGTCTAGCCTACGCACATCTGTCTCTCCCATGAACTTTATGCTACCATAACCGTGTCGTCCCACCACAAAGTCTCTAACCCGCCTGCAGTAACCCGGATCCGCTCTTTCCTTAGCTGCTAGTTCCTGGATACGTGGCTCCGTGAAATAATCAGATTGTCGTAGCTTCGGCATAAGAGCCTCGATATCTGCACCGTGCTCATAAACAATCGCGGCTTCTCCTGCTCTGTGTCCACTTAGCGTTTTGTAGGGACGGTCTTTATCGCTGGCCTGATCAGAACGTGTTGTGCCATTCGGTTTCTGATTTGCATTGACTGATGTATGTATTCTTTCTCCAGTACCACCAAGTTCTCCGTTACCATTTTCTGTGAATATTGTCTCTCAAGTCAGTCCGAGAATTGTCCAAACATAGAAAAACGTAACCAAACTTTTAAATATTTTGTATACTCACTGTCATGATTTGCTGCATCAGTGGCCATGTCAGGACTCTTCCCTGAAATTTACAATTAATATTGTCAAAAAGAGCCAGGAATGGTTGACCACAGTACCTAGTACCTCATTAGAGTAATCATTTCGCATATCCTTCTCACATGCAGAGTAATCAAGTTTTAGAAGGAAAACAACGCATGAACAAGAAAAGGTGCTCTTCTGAGAGTACAAAAGAGTAGATATTAAAAATTCCAACTTAAAAGTGCTAGTCTAAGATTTGAATGCTGCCATCTCTATGGGAATAAATTGAAGCAGAGAGTCTCAAAAAGCTTTATCTATATTGAAAACTTAAAGAAGGACTGCAGGCTATGCAATAAGCAAAGGAATAGAAAAAAGGAAGCTTACCATTGTCATGTACTGGAGCAGTCGGGCGTTGTTCCTTTGGAAGTATTGATTTATCCCTTGAAGACCACTGTTGAACTGGGCGTATAACTAGAGCTCTAGGGTTCTCCCTTGGAATGAAAAGAGCATCCGCCTTTGGTGTACTTGAGCTCTCCTCGTCATCAGTGAAAAATGGAACCTACAAAGACCATTTTAAAATTTAAACATATAGAACGAACCTCAGCACCAAGAGTTTAGATTAAGTAAAATAAATTGTGATTATATATTCACAAGAACGAAGCATTGCCTTTGGACCATTCTCGCCAGGACGGTACTTTCTTGCCGGCAGCCTGACCCGCCTGTGTAATAGGTGTCGAGAAGTCAGGAGAGATGATATTCTAACAGGAGCAGGTTTGTCAACAACCTGACAGGAAAAAGAAAATGATTAAGAACCAGTTAATAATCAAGTAATCAACTACTTCTATTTATTATGAATAGTAACGAGCTTCAAGATGCATGTGGAAGAACTGAATGTCTACCATAGGGTTTTATTAGAGGGAACAGCTATATTGAGACTATATCTAATTCTGGATAAAAAGAACAATGCACCGTATGGGAGTTGCAGAAGGAAGAGCAGGCTTACAGGCATGCTGGAGATTCCATATTGAATGGAAGGTGAATTTCCACCTTGATTTATTGAAATCTGAGGCATAGCAGGAAGTGTTCCAAATGGGTTTGTAACAGCAACTGGTTGCAAAACAACAGAGTTCAAAGGAGCAGGCCTGTCAAAAAAATAAAACGATGAAGCTAAAATAACACAACTTCCACAAATCAAACCCATAAATAAACTATTCAAAAAGAGCGGAAATAAAAGTCTTGCAAGCAGAAACACCATACGATTGCCCGAAGTTGCCTTGACCAAAAAACCCCAGTCCACCAGCATTGCCAGTTGTATTAGCTTTAGACCATGAATATAGAATAGTTAGCACTAGAAATAAGATGATAATGTCAGTGACTTGGTCGAGCGACGTACCTGCTTGATTTTGACCGAAGTTGTTGAAACCAAAACCATTTGATGCTTGACCTGGCTGAGCTGATTGAAAGGGTGTCACACCAGCAGGCTACAGAAATAATGCAAGATTGGAAGACCAAAATTAGAAAAGAAGGGAACTAGGTGCCGGTGTCAATTAAGAGATGCAAAAGAACTGCAAACTGTGAAGAGAACAGGCATCACCAAAAGAAATGGAAAAAAAAAAAAAAACTAAGTGCTTAGGCTTAATAGCGAATGTGAAAATCACCATTGTTTGTCCAAAGGGAGAGCTGCTAGACGTAGTTAATGTTGAAGAACTTGAAAACATGTTTCCAAATCCAGTGGAAGGTTTATTAAAAATGCTATTTTGGCCAAATGCAGGAGCACTACTCTGTCCGAACTGTCCAAAAGCAGAACCAGTCTGTCCAAACGCAGAACCAGTCTGCCCGGTCGAAGGGGTTGAATTGAACAGAGTAGATGGCTGACTGTTGCCAAATGCTGGAGTTGCCCCCTGACCAGGAGCTGAACCAAAGATTGATGAAGAAGAGCCAAATCCAGGAGTGCTTGATGAACCAAATAATGGTGATGATGTCGTTGTTCCAAAAGCGGAGGATGATCCAAAAACGGATGTGGTAGTTGATGAACCTGAACCAAAAAGATTGGAAGAAGATGTTACACCAAAGGGCGAGGAACCAAAATTTGAGGTAGCCGTTCCAAAACTCGAACTGGCAATTGTTGGGGTTTGAGGGGCAAAAGGGTTGGTAGATGTTGAGCTCGAAAAAGGGTTTGTTGGATTTGCTGATGTCTGACCAAACGCCGGTGATGGAGAAAAAGGATTTGGTTGAGCAGGTGATATACCAAATCCGGCATTGCCAGGAGACTGGCCAGCAGGAAGTTGTCCACCTGAGAATTGAAGAGTACGAGAATCAAGATTTTGTTAAATAAGGTACAGGAATGTAGCGTTAAGCAGATGTAGTACAAGATTTGTTTGATCAGGTGTACCTTTATCTCCTCGCTGGTAATCTTCCCACCTCAGCTCCTCATGGTTTTTATCTTTGTATGCTGGCATGGCAGAAATAGATTCCAACTTTCCAGCAGGCTGAGTTCCGGTCCCTGTCTCTGCCTCAACTGTTGGTGCATAAGGCACAGCTCGACTGCCCCCTTGTTGACCACCGAAAGTGGATTGACCAAAACCAGAACCCCCAAATGTAGGGGTTGAAGCCTGCGCACCTGCAAAACAAATCATGCAAACATATTTCGTCACCCCTTTATTCAAATGACCAACACAACAATTAGCAGTTATAATATTTTACTGAATGGGACATGCTAAAAGAAGAACCTTGACCTCCAAAGGGAGATGGTGTAGAGCCAAAGGTGCTGCTACCAAAGGCTGATGTAGACTGGCCAAAAGCTGGAGACGAGCCAAAACTAAAGGATGAGGTATTTGATGCACCAAAAGAAGGAGTACTAGATCCCCCAAAGGCAGGAGTACTGGATGCCCCAAAGGCAGGAGTACTGGATGCACCAAAGGCAGGAGTACTTGATGCACCGAAGGCAGGAGTGCCTGATGCACCAAAAGCCGGAGTGCCTGATGCACCAAAAGCAGGGGTGCTTGAAGCTCCAAAAGCACCTCCAGAACCAAAGCCAGTGTTGCCAAACGTGGTGCCAGTGCTACCAAAAGCTGGAGTCGGTGACGCGCCAAATGCAGGTGTGTTTGTGGCGCCAAAGGAGGGAGAGTTTGAGGCGCCGAAGGCAGGCGTGTTTGTGGCACCAAAGGCAGGCGTGCTTGATGCACCAAACGAGGGTGTGCTTGTGGCGCCAAAAGAAGGCGTGCTTGAAGCGCCAAAGGCAGGCGTGTTAGTGGCACCAAAAGGTGTAGACGAACCAAAAGTGGAGTTTCCAAATGCAGGTTGGGATTGCTGCGCGGAGTTTCCAAAAGGATTTGACTGAGGCGTTGAAAATCCCAAAGGTTTCTGCCCAAAACCAGAAGATCCTAAAAAGGAAACAAATAAAATTAGCTTAATCACCAAAAGCAAATGTAAAACTGTTAAACAGGGCTTATTCTTAAACCCTTGTCCTACCAAAGACATAAAATATATTCATACCCAGGAAAAGCAATAAGTCAATGAGGTAACTAACAAACCATGCAATGAAATCTATAAAAGGTACTTACCACCAAAAGGTGAAGATGCTGGAGATGCTCCAAAGGCCGGAGTGGAATTCCCAAATGCTGGTGATGAAGAAGCTCCAAAAGTTGGGGTGGAGGCAAAGGGAGAGGATGTTTGAGGTGCACCAAACACACCGGTTGAAGTGCTTCCAAATATTGAACTTCCCGACTGTGCAGCAAAAGGAGCAGACGTGCCAAACGGAGTAGCTGGAGCAAAGGGATTATTACTACTTGTATTGCTGGTCTGACCAAACAAAGATTGGGACCCAAATGGGCTGGTACCAGATGACTGTCCAAAAGCTATAAGAACAATATTTCAGAAGGTCAATTTTCTTTTGAAGTATAACAAAAGAAATAAATAGCATAAAACTATTAAAAAAATAACGAAATACATGGCTACAGAAACCAGCAAGTAAGTAAAAGATAGGATCACTTACGATTGGATGAGCCAAACATCTTCCTCTGTAGTTTGACAACGGAGAGCCAAGCCAAAAGAAATTATATTATCTAGTAGCTGGAAAAAGAAGAATGATTAGGAAAAGATAACAACAGAACTAAATGCACAGAAGCAACACCATATCGGTAGAAGCTGGTTTAAAAAATTTAAACACAATAACCATATGTACGTATACTAGAATTCAACATCAAAAGTTGGTTCATCATGCGTTACAAAAGAGTACACAAAGGACCAAGTTCAAAACATGAATCAGCAGGGGAACAAGAAAATGCATAATAAGCTGGTATGACTAAGAGATGACGAATCTCTAAACCTATTAATAACTAGGCGATAGAGAACCTCTAAAACCATCGAACTAAGCAACATCACAAATAGAAACCATCATGAACTCAGAAATTGAGTATGCAATATGTATATAAACTTGAGCAAAGATTGAGCAATCAAGCAATAAAATCAAAGCTGGAACTAATCGAAATGAAACTTGAAGAAATACCTATGAATCCGATGTAAAAAAAGAGAGGAACAAGGTCACAGGTTCTTCGATCAATCAAATATCAACGACTCTCAAAGAGACCAAGACCGGAAGCTCCAATCGTCTGCGTGGAAGAAATTAGGGTTCAGGAGTGAAATCGCCGAGAAACGAATAGGCGGCGTGGTATCAAAAGTGGAGCAAGAAGATGTATGGGAAATGGAACCTGAAAACGACGAGCTCGATCTGAAAACGGACGAGACGATGTAGGGAAATGTGGAGCAATTTCGCCGGAATCGAAAGCGCGACGGTTGCAACTTGCAAAGAGCGAACGATTGGCCCTTTTTGTTGGTATGATGACTTCTCTACCTGCTTGCGGGTCTAATTGCTGAATTAGTTTTTAGGAAATACAGTAAATTTTGCTAAATTACTTTCAACCATTGTTATAGAGTTTAAAATGTTTTATAACCATGCTTTCTTTCCAACGTTAATTTTGTCTTAATACTACAACAATGCTTTGGGCCTGCATTAGGCCCATATATTAATAAGTGACACTTTGAGTTACGACGACCTATGTTATACTCTGTTCCTTCTTCTGCACTCTCTCACGGCAAATCACAAAACTCCAAGCTCGAAACATGGATTCGAATCCAAGCTCAAATTGGTTTAACATTATACAGGTTTCCAAATTCAGGCTCAAATATATGTTTCTATGTGGAGAATAAGAGTGAGTGAGTTAACTTGCTAAAGAAACAACACAAGAAATTGATAACCGAGTTCACGGCCTCAACCGCTACGTCTCGGGGGAGATCTCTTGCTCCCAAAGCTTCACTATGTCAAAGAGGTTACAAGCACCACAAACTTGTGGATATTGATTTGGTTTACAGATTTTGCACTCAAGAAGAACAAGATCAAAGAACAACAAAGAGAAAGAAGAAAGCTTGTTTTGGAAGCTCTTGTATCTCTCTTCTCTAGAACTCTCTTTAGATTGCCTTGTCTCACCTACCACCACTTCCTCTTTATCTCACGTAGAAAATATATAAGTGTATGTGATGGGCCACTCTTGTTCTTCTTTCTCTTCTTGTCAATTTCGTATGGGCCTTAATGGGCCAGATTTTGTTTGGTTTTGTCAAACCCATCAACAATTCTCCACCTTTTGACAAACACCAACCCTCGACGAAATCGTCATCTGAAAAACCCAACTTTGCCTCTTTGTTTCTTCGTGAAGCTCAACGCCACCACCGGATCGCCACCTCCTCCGGCGATCTATCCGGTGAGCTCCTCTTCCATCTCCGGTTATCATCTCCACCAATCTCCTCCGAGCTTCCTCTTGCTCCCGTGATGGAGAGAAGATGGTAAAAATCGAAATCAATGTTAGATTCCGACCACAGCCTTCTCCGGTAGCTTCCTCCGGTGAAGGAAAGCTTCAGCCTCCACCTGTTTCACGGCGGCTCCTAATTTTTACGAATCAAGAGACATCTCCTTCGTCACTGCCAACGAATCTGAAGCTTCTCTCCAATGAATCTAAAGCTTCTTCTTCGGCTTCTCCGGTGAATCGGACCACCGCCGTCACCGTTCATCTAAGGTAACCTCTAATCTCTCTCTTTCTCGTTAGGTGATGATTAGAGATTAAGCCCTCAGGAGATTTTCATAAAAATTGAACCATAAAAGTTTCACCTTTTGAAACCAATTCAGGTGGTAAGCTCCGACACTTCTCCGGCAAGCTACAGCTCTACTCCGGCGACATTGAAGCTTCTTATTTGTCTCGTCCGGAGAGATTCACAGCTCAATTGATTCCGGCAGCCCTCAAGTAACCAACTTTTCTTGCCAACTTCTCTTGCTTTAGTCGAAACTTTGTGATTCAGATTTTAACCGAAAGCTCTAACCCGATCTACTCTGTTAACAGTTGAATCACCGCAACCAACGACCAAACAACTGGCTTCTTAGAGGACTCCACCTGAAACTGATATTCCTTTCAACATGATTTCAACAGCTTTCAGGTTATTATCTGTCTTAAGTCACCTTAGCTTGACAGATTCCTTTTAATCTCACAACATTATGAGACTGCTAACTCAGCTTCTTGCTGAAAAATATTTTTGTCAGATTCTCCACCTGGAACTTGCAACTCCTACACAGTTCCAGAACTCAACAGGTAACTCCAACTTCAATTAAACTCTTTACTCAATTCTGACAATTTGAGCATTACTCACAGAAACTGAATCATCTTGTTTCAACCTGTTTTGCGAGACTGTTGGAGTTACCTGTAGCCGCAGCTCCACCTCAGTGGATGTTGAGAAGCTCGCAGCAAAGCTGGAACTTCTGGCCAGGTACCGTCTTAGTTAGGAAATCTGCTGGATTGACTGTTGTGTGGATTTTGTGTAGAACAACATCACCCTTAGACACTATATCCCTGATGAAATGAAATTTAGTGTCTATGTGCTTGGTTCTTTCGTGATGGACTGAATTCTTTGCTAGGGCTAGAGCACTCTGTGAATCACAATGAACCATAACACTGTCTTGCTTAAAACCCAATTCTGAACACAAACCTTTCAACCAAATGGCTTCTTTCACTGCTTCAGTAAGAGCCATATACTCTGCTTCTGTGGTTGAAATAGCCACAACAGATTGTAAACTTGATTTCCATGAAATTGTGTTTCCACCAACCTTAAACACAAAACCTGTCACTGATCTTCTCCGATCTAAGTCTGTCGCATAATCTGAATCTGAAAATCCTTCAATGCAGAACTTAGAATCCTTCTTAAAAATCAAGTTTTGAGTGTATGCACCTTTTAAATACCTTAACACCCATTTCACTGCTGACCAATGATCCCTTCCTGGACTTGACATAAACCTGCTGATTAAGCCCACTGCAAATGCTAAATCTGGCCTTGAACCAACCATAGCGTACATTAAACTCCCCACAGCACTTGCATATGGAATTCTTTCCATGTGTACAGCTTCTGTTTTCTTTTCCTCTTCTGACAAACTTCTGAGTTTGAAGTGAGAAGCTGTTGGTGTGATCACTGACCTTGCTTCAAACATTCCAAAAGTTTTTAACACTTTCTCCAAGTAGTTTCCCTGAGACAGAATTAATTCTCCCTTTTCTCTATCTCTTATGATATCCATACCCAGAATTCTTGAAGCCTTCCCCAAATCTTTCATTTCAAACTCACAATTCAGCTTGTCTTTAAGCTCCTGTATAACGGCCATACTCCCTGAAGCTATCAGAATATCATCAACATAGAGCAACAAATAGATAGCTTTATCAGTTTGAGTGTCTCTCATGTAGACACATGGGTCATAACTGCTTCTTTCAAACTTCTGATCCTGCATGAATCCATCAAACCTCTGATTCCAAAGCCTAGGAGACTGTTTTAGGCCGTATAGGGACTTCCTCAACAAACAAACTTTGTTTTCATTTCCCTTTTGTATGAATCCTTCAGGTTGACTCATTAGGATCCTTTCCTCTAGATTACCATGCAGAAAAGCTGTTTTAACGTCCATTTGCTCCAGCTCATAATCCATGTTAACCACAAGTGACAACATTAACCTGATGGAGACATGCTTCACCACTGGAGAAAACACTTCATTATAATCAATTCCTTCTTGCTGCGAAAAACCCTTAGCAACAAGTCTGGCCTTGTATCTCTGTTTCTCCACTCCCGGTATGCCTGGCTTCAATTTAAAGATCCATTTGCATCCAATCAGCTTCTGCTTTTCTGGTTTCTCAATTAGATCCCAAGTATGACTCTTTCTATGAGAATCCATCTCTTCCTTCATTGCATTTTCCCATTGCTTTCTCTTACTGCTTTTCATAGCTTCTTCGTAAGACTTAGGCTCTTCTATTTCCAAGTCTTCTGCTGTAGCCAAAGCATAAGCTACGAAATCTGCGTCTTCGAATCTTGATGGAGGCCTGATATTACTTCTCCGTTTCCTGTCCCTCGCCAACAAGTAATCATCCAGGGACTGTTCATTTTCAGATCCATCAACTTCCTCATCTCTTTCTGATTCTTGTGAACTTTCTGAATTTTCTGATGAAGATGTGGAAGTTTCTCCACCTTGAGAAGATGCATCATCCGAATCAGAGTAACTGGTAGAAGGACCTCTGATAAGATCATGGCTGAAAGACACTCTTTTTTCAGCTTTCTTCAATTTCCTGTACTCTTTTTCAGCTTCTTCTTTCCTTCTAGTTTCAGTGCTTAGTGTGTTCTTGTACAGCTCACTCTCATTGAACACCACATTTCTACTTGTAGTGCATTTCCCTTCCTCAGGCAACCAGACTCTATATCCTTTAATACCAAAAGGATATCCCATGAAAACTCCTTTGACTGCTCTTGGACTTGTCTTATCTTGAGTAACATGGACATAAGCTGAACATCCGAACCTCCTTAGATGACTTAAATCTGGTTTGGTACCTGTCCAGACTTCCTCAGGTAGCTTGAAACCAATAGACGAGTTTGGTGTTCTGTTGATTAAGTAGACAGCCGTAGAAGTAGCTTCAGCCCAAAATTCTTGACCCAATCCTGTCTCAGCAAGCATACTTCTAACCTTATCCATAATGGTCCGGTTCATCCTCTCCGATACACCGTTTTGCTGCGGTGTATAGGTACACGTTCTGTGCCTCTTTATTCCTGCTTCCTTACACAAGTTGTCAAACTGTGTATTACAGAACTCAAGACCATTATCAGTCCGTAAGTACTTAATCTTCTTGCCCGTTTGATTCTCAACTGCTTGTTTCCATTCTCTGAACTTGTGAAATGCTTCATCCTTAGTCTTCAGAAAATACACCCATACTTTCTTCGAGAAATCATCAATGAAGCTTACAAAGTACTTGCAACCACCAAGACTTTCTGGAGTAGAAGGAGATCCCCAGAGATCAGAATGTATATAATCTAATATACCTTTGGTGGTGTGCTTAGCAGTTGGGAAACTTTGCTTGTGAGATTTTCCAAGTACGCAACTCTCACAAAAGTCCAGCTTGTCTACTCCTTTTCCTGACAAGTAACCCTCTTTAACCAGCACATTCATGTTCTTCAAACTCATATGACCTAGCCTAGAATGCCACAGGCTGGTCATGTCAACTTCCGGTCTTGCCACTGCAACTTCTCCTTTTACGACCTTTCCTTGTAGATAGTACAGCCCATCTTGATATTTTCCAGAGATAACCTTCTGCCCATCTTTGTAGAAAGTGACTATGAAGTCTTCCCCTTCATATTTGCAGCCGTTCTTCTCTAATTGACCATATGAAATGAGGTTCCTACCCATTGTAGGTACGTACCTCACATTTGTTAATATGACCATAGAATCATCTGGATTTAAGATCTTAATCTTACCAATCCCTTTCACTTCACAGTGAGTCATATTACCCATCAAGACCTTACCACCATCAAACTCTTGTAGGTCAAATAGAGAATCCTTGTCTGGTGTAATATGAAAACTACAACCAGAATCCATAACCCATTCTTCCTTAGTGTCTTGAGGGCTAACGGTTAGTACTAAAGGCTGCTTTGGCTCTGTTGCAATGTTTGCTGAACTTGAAGGTTTGTTTGAGGACTTTTCAGGACACTCCCTCTTCCAATGTCCTTCTTTACCACAAATGAAACAGCCCTTGTTGTTTTTATTATTCTTTGGTCTTGATTTTGATCTGCCTTTGCTCTTAGAACGTCCTCTCCACGGTTTGCCTTTTCCTTTGTCAAACCTCTTCTCTGATCTGCCTCTTGTTTCCACGTACAGACCTTCACTTTGAGATTTTGAGAGCTTTCCACTTTCTGCGAGTTCTCGTTCCTTTGATTTTGCAGCTCCAATGACCTCATTCAAGCTCAATGTATCTCTACCATACTTCAGCGTCTCTTTGAGCTGATCATAGCGGTCAGATAATGAACTCAACAACAGAATAGCTTGAACCTCTTCTGTCACATCTACTCCTATGTTGTTTAGATCAGTGACTAGCTTAAGGAAATCATCTACATTCTCATCTATACTTTTAGAATCAGTCATCTTATAAGTATAGAACTTAAGCTGTAAGTAGATGCGATTAGGTAGAGAAGTCTCCATGTATAACCTGTTTAGTGTGGACCACATGGCTGCAGCTGTCTCGCAGTTTTTGATCTTCCTTAGTACTTGATTTCCCACGTTTAGTACTATAAGATCTTTTGCCTTCTCTGATTTTTCAAACTTTGCAGGATCAATGTTTGGAGGCAGCTCAAAATCCCCAGCTATGCCCACTTGAGTGTCTCTTCCAGCTGCTGCAGCTTCCTCTTCTGTAGTAGGTGGGTCTCTTAGCAGCTGCTCATCATTCAAGATACTTTTCAACCCTAGAACCCCAAAGTGAGCCAACATTCTGACCTTCCACAAGGAGAAGTCACCGGTTCCATCAAATCTGTCCACCTCGACCCGAGTGTTACTCATCTTGTCCCGAGTGTTACTCATCTTGTAAGTCTTGTAACCCTTGATCTGAAACTCTTTAGCAGCTCTACACCAGCCTGGAGCTCTGATACCACTTGTGGAGAATAAGAGTGAGTGAGTTAACTTGCTAAAGAAACAACACAAGAAATTGATAACCGAGTTCACGGCCTCAACCGCTACGTCTCGGGGGAGATCTCTTGCTCCCAAAGCTTCACTATGTCAAAGAGGTTACAAGCACCACAAACTTGTGGATATTGATTTGGTTTACAGATTTTGCACTCAAGAAGAACAAGATCAAAGAACAACAAAGAGAAAGAAGAAAGCTTGTTTTGGAAGCTCTTGTATCTCTCTTCTCTAGAACTCTCTTTAGATTGCCTTGTCTCACCTACCACCACTTCCTCTTTATCTCACGTAGAAAATATATAAGTGTATGTGATGGGCCACTCTTGTTCTTCTTTCTCTTCTTGTCAATTTCGTATGGGCCTTAATGGGCCAGATTTTGTTTGGTTTTGTCAAACCCATCAACATTCTAATAGCACCTTTGAAATATATATAGGTCTTAACATCATCATGTTCCATTGTTACAAAACTCGTTGATAAGGTTGTCTAAATTCTTCCAAGACGAACCAATTCCTTCCTCCAAAGCCTTCTTCGCCATCTTACCATATGCCTGGACATTCCTTCTTAGCTCTTTCCCTTTCTCTCCCTCCATCAACTCCTTCACTTTCTCTGCAATCTCTTCTCTTCTCACAACTCCTTCACTCGCTGCCACCACTCTCTCCGCTACTCTCAGCTCTTCCACCACCAATATCGCATTCAGAGGTTGCTCCGCCGCTAAAGGAAACGCCAAGATTGGAACCTCCGAGCAAATGCTCTCCATCAGAGAATTCCACCCACAATGGCTCAAGAACCCTCTAACACTATCGTGCTCTAATATCTTCCTCTGATCAACCCATTCATCTCTCACCATCATTCCTCTTTCTCCCACTCTCTCTTCAAACTCTTTTCCTATTTCATTTCCTTTGACCACCCACAAAAAGTTCACCTTCGATTCTTCCAACCCTAACGCAATCTCCTCCAGTTGTTCTCTCGAGATCTCGGCTTGTGACCCGAAAGCCACGTAGAGAACATTGCATCCCTGGTCTCGCTTTTTATCAAGCCATTTCATCCAACTAGGTTTGACCTTCTCTTCTACTTCATACTCCAAGCTGTTAGAAATCAAAGAGGTACTAGAATTAGCTCGTACCAGACTTATTTATAGAAAAATCGTAATTACTAACTTACAAGTTATTTACACAACAAAGCGGTCCAAGTGTCCAGGGCTTGAGCTCGCGATTACGCTTGTAGAAATCTATAAACACGGGTTCAAGGTCGTCCAATGTGTTGAAGATGATACCTTGACTTTGATTCATAGACGTGACTTGATCTAGGATAAGCTTGAATCCAGGATCTGTGGTGGATTTTGAATCAAACATATCTTTAACGAAATCACATTTCCTAACCTTAATCCACGGAAACTCCGGTACAGGAACGGGCTCAGTCTCGGACTTAACATTAGATAGAAGCTGGTTTTGAAAAACACTGTCACATATAACGGTGGAAGCGCAGTTCATACCCAAGAAAACAATCCGAGGAAACCCTAGCTTCCGAGATGACTCTAGCGTCCACCACAAGAAACCGTCTGAGACCATGAAACTGACACGTGGCAGTGACATGAGTTCTCGCTCAAAGTCTGCCTGCATTGACTTGGTGGCTCTTGTGAAAGGAACGAAGAGGGAAGCAGGAAGTTTGTCGGTGCATTCGACGCCAGGTGGGATCTCAGGGACGTTATCGGGGAAAGGGATGTCGATGATGGTCGCTTTGGTGTCGGAGAGTGAGTCAACGACGAAAGGACGGTTCAAAGGAGTGGTGAAGACGGTGACAGAGATATCTCCGGCGAAGGAGTGGGATAAGAGGAGACGAGCTAATTGGAGCATAGGAATCATGTGCCCTTAGAAAAAGTTCACGTGGTTTTGTTCCCATACTTGTCCAAACTCCATTGAGAATTTAATTGAGAGATCTGTGCATAGGCCTTCTCTGGTTTATATATAGTATTTCTCTCTATGTATAAACAAAGACTTCATGTCCACTGAGGTCTCAGATCTGTGCATAGGGTCTCTTCTCTGTTTCTTATCCCTCTATGTATAATGAGATCTGTGCCTAGTTATTAAGATAAAGCAATTTGCAATTACTAATTGTTGAAAAAATAGCATTTTGACAAATGTTATATCATTTTTGTTTCTCCCAATGAATTCAGAGATCTAAATATCTATGACTTCCATTGCTATCGATCCTCAAAGGTAGAGAGATAAGTATAAAATAAAGACCCACATTTAAAGTAGAAGATAATACTTTAGAATAAAGATTCGATATTTTCATATATTCACTTGAAAATCATCACCCTATTGTTTGTGTTCTTGGGGTTCTAAAGGGATGCTCTTTTAGATTTTGTGTTTCCTTTTAGAAGGAAAAACAGAGGAGAAAATAATGTTGTTAGTCATAGGAGTTCTTGAGTTAATTGATGATAGTTCATGAAATCAATCCCATTTAGCCTGACGCAACACAGAATCTGCTCAGGTAGCTCCTCTGGTTTGTTCCCCTGTTCACACATAGAAATCCTCAACATAAGCGATAAAACCACATATGATTTTCCTATCCAAAAATGATTGTAACAAAGTCTACCTGAATTGTGAGGCCAACATCAAGAACACAGATCTTCAGTCTGTCTATGAATGTTTCAAACCCTTTCCGGGATATATAACCGAATCTATGCATATCGATATCAATCTCAAAGTAATTGTCGCCCTACAAAGAGCAAAATTTCGAAGTTCATTAGTTACTAAGCATATTCCTAATCAAGACGAATAGTTAAAAGAGTTTGGGTCTTACCAAGTAGAATTCGTGCTGCGGACGTGAAAGAACAGGTTTCTCGTTATAAGCCTGCATCAGTTTTTTCTCCGGACCACTCAAATGGAGATCATCTACGTTTGCAACACGTCCCAATATCTTGAGCCGCTCTCTAAAAGGTGCAGTTGTATCCATAGGGAAGCCTTTAACTTTCTCAACCTCATCATCTATTAATCTCTGCGCCAAAAAAAACACGGATTCAATACAAAGAGCCTTTAACAGGGCCATAAAGATGAGACTAACCGACTCCAGCTTTCAGTTTACCCGAATGCTTTCTTGAAAATGGAGCGGAAGTTCCTTTGAATAATTATCCGAGAGTTTGAAGTATAATACAATATTCATTCCTTCTCCATCAGAGTCACCTTGAAATATTGCAGTTGGATACAACGGAATCTGTTCCAACCATAAACCAAGAGAGACAATCACGAAAAATTTCAGAAAGAAGGCAAAAACACCGACTATCAGCAGAACTAGATCATACCTGAACATTTACAACAAGGATAGATGGGAGTTTTGTGGATGTGGTAGTAACGGGAAGTTTGACATATTGTGCAACATGGTTTATTTTGTGTTCCGATAAGAAAACATCGACACCAAAAGGATTATACGCAGCATGGCTAGGTGCAAACTCTTTCTTCTTTTCTCTTTACCAAATACAAAATATAGTTTGTTGTTAAGATGGGTTAAACTAGTAATCATAAGTAAAATCAGTAAGCTCTCCAATGGTTTACCTGAAATATGTTTTGCCACGAACCCGAAAACTATTGGGATCAATGGTTGACCAACAGTCGAGCATTTTCTTATCAATTGGACAGAAAGGAACCTGAGAACCCGCTATCGGTCTCTTCAACTGCATTTTAGACAAAACTGAAACAATTTTCGAGACAACATGTGAGTTTTCGATTTCAGATGAACCTGCTAATCCAATGAATCAATTGAAATATATACTTACACAATGCTCCTGAAGCATGACCTTCTCTCCATTTATAAGAAAGTTTAAGAGACGTTTTTTTCCTCGAACTGGGAGGGCTAGAGCTAAGAGACCTTCTCTTGTCAATAGAAGGAACAGTTGTTGTATTCAGACAAGGCAAACAATTACTCGGTAAGATCCTGCAGTTTTCCAAGAGTCCTTCATCTGCAGACGAATCAACTAAATCAGGCTGCTTTGTGTCGTTTAAGTCACCGTCTGATTTCGATTGTGACATCACTTCATTTGAGTCAGTGTCTCGAGTTGATGATGTGGTTGTTGTACTCGAGAGTGATACACGCTCAGATCCGTTTAAAGACAATGTATCTGAAAACGAAACACAAAAGGCAGAGAAATGAAGATCAACAAAAAGAGAAACATACATGTCTCTCCTAGCTAACAAACATAGTATAGAGTATTTACCTTCATTGACACTGTGGAAATCATCATCACAGTCTGTTTCAAATGCGACATTGGACTCAAACCATGCGTCGTCGCCAGTTGCTGTTGAAATTATAAAACCACAAGAGATACATGAATCATAATCACAAGAGATTAGCTACCATATATAAAAAGTTCCTTAAAGAGATAAAAAGATCAAAGCTTTACACAGTGTGATTAATAAACAAAGATTTAATACTCAGAAAACAGTGAACTTTATAAAAAACAAAATCAGAATCTAATCCGAGAGATTCAGATACTAAACTGTACAATTAATGAAACCCAACAATCTAATCCACCAATTGATTCAAACGAATCAAATCAAGATCAAATTTTTCAATCGAATGCAGAGAGGTAAAGAAAAGAGACCTCGAGAACTGGGATTGGAGAAGTTACGATGAGGATGATGATCGAGATTGTCGAAAGATCCGTCAGAGAGACGAGAAGAGACGGCTCTCTTCCTTTGAATTTTTCGTCGTCTACGACTCTTCCTTCGTTTACTTGACCTCAGTTTTGCTCCAACACAGCTCTTTGGCGTCGACACGCAACCTCCCATCTCTCTCTCTTTAGATTAGAAATTAGCTTCAATCTTCCATAAGCGACGATCATTCACCGGAATAAATTATAAAAAAAAACCCAGAAAAAAAAAATCAAGAGAGCAGCGTTTTTCTCTCTCTCTTTGATCAATTTCTGGTAATAGAATCTGTCATCATCGAATGAACACTATAAATGAATAAAGCCCACAATTTTATCATTGAAAGGGCACTTCCAGAGAGCTGAGATTTGCGAAAGAGACAAATTATTTGGTGAAGAAAAGATTTTTCCTTTGCGGAGAAAAAAACTCTTATTTTTATTTTTATTTTTTTTGGTTAGATTTTTGGAGATTCGGAAAGTCAATAAAATGAGAAAAAACATCAAAGAAGAAGAAGAAGTAGTTAAAGAGTTATTTATCTCTTCGGTCTGCATTAACGGCATCTTCCAAGCAAATTCTTTTTTTGTTTTTTTTTCTCTCTTTTAATTTGAACCATTGAATTAAACCGATCGAGTTCTTAAACCGGATCTGATTAAGTACGTCGGTAGGACTCTCTCTGACCGTAAACTTTGTCGCTAATCTAATCATCCTCAATTATGTATATGGAGTTTCACTTTACTAATGTAAATGTACACCTACTAGTAATAGTCAATTACCAATCAAAGATTCAAAATCATATTTTTTTCTTAATTGTTGTGTTTCAAAAATAAGCCTGAGAAAAAAATTATTTCCTATAATTCATATATTTATATTCTCAAGGATAAAAAAATAGTTACATCTTTGTTAGAGAAAATTCATTTACCATTTAAAATAAATTGAAATCTTACCAACTAACTTTTTTAATAATTCTTAAATGGTTATAAGTTAGGTTTTTGATGTGACAATCTTAACTTAGCAAAAAAAAAAAAAAAGATAAGCCATGCAAGAGAAGTGAGTGGGTCATGTGACTCATGTCTGAGCTATTTACGTGGCAAATTTTGAAGGGTGGAGCTGCTAAGCGACTTGGTCGACGCCTACGGCGTGGCGCATTGCGTTGTTTCTAGACGACCAAACTCCAAACTCATCTATTCAATTCCTAATAATTTGCATCATTATCTAACAATATGTCTCAATTGTATATTAGGGCATCATCAATGGGGGATCATGTGAGGGTGTTCTTATAGAGAATATAATGTTAAAATAATGTAAGATCATGTGTTTAGATCTTTTGTTTAGAAGTTGATTAGTGGGAGAACATGTGTAAGATCTTAAGATTTAATAATATAATAATCTAAATTAAATTAAGATTTTACAATTATTAAAACATTTAAAAATAACATATAAATTGCAAATGCCAAATTTATGAAAAACTGAAAATAAAAGTGAAAATACAATACTAAATATTTATGAAAAAAAACATTAAAAATATAAATAACAATAAACAAACAAACATATTACTTAATAAAAGCACAAAAACATTTTATCTAATTAATACATAGTTTATTATCCAAATTTATTCCAAATATGTTGAATATTCCAACCAATGCCCAAATGCCACGTCACCCCGCAACACCCACAAGAACAGATCCAGGTCAAGAGCCCAGTTCCTGATCTTAAGCCCATTAACCTATTTTTTTGGATTTAAATAATGCTTAGATCAGGGGGGATGATCCCCCAATGCAGATGGTCTTATATATAAAGATATATAGACATAATATATAGAAAAACATTGTATATGGAAGTTTGAATTTATGGGTAATTTGGCAGGAAAATTACAAAAGAAATTAAAAAGAGGGTTGGTCCAACTTATTTCATTTGACTCTGACAATCTTACAAGTTACAATCTCATCTTCATGGACCCTAGCTCACTCCATCTACATCTCACTTTTTTCCCATGTTTTCTCCAATGTGTGTTGAATATTGAATAACAACATGCAAAATAATTAATTCGAAATATAATTTTGTTAAATTTTGCAGATTTTCCACCATATATTTCTTCATTTTTATAACAACCATACAAATGGTAAGCAATCTACAAAACACGGTATTTTAAAAAATGAAAGTAACATATTCGTTTTTTCTTTGTCGACATAAACATATTCATTTACTTTTTTTATCAAATATCTTTGCTTTTTTCAACAATAATTCGCTACCCTAATTGGATTATTGTGCTGTGATAATAAAAACAAAAGAGTGGTAATGAACATATGATGAACAAACAACACACGTGCGGTTGTTTGTTTGTTGGCAGAATCTCGTTGTCATTGAAGTGTTTCGATTTGTACAGAACTGACGCTTTCATGTTCCACACACGCCTCGTAGATTTCCACAGTCCTTTAAGATTATTTTTACATAGAAACAACAAAAATTTACATCAATACTTTATCACAATTATATTTCTTTTCTTGTTTGTATTTTTCTATTCTCGTGATTAGTTTGAGTACGTTAGAAATATTTTTGAAATGGCAAAGATACTTGTGTTTTATAATTGGCGTTACACATTTGATCTTAAACAGTGAAATCCCAGTCTATATACACTAAAAGACATATGGGCTATATATATAAAAGAAAGGTCACGAGCAAATAATGATGCGAACCGACAACGTGTCAGTCTCAAGCATTATAGAGAATTAGAGAGAAGGGGCCATTGTGTAAAGCTTCTTCTTGCTTAGGGATTGTAAAATGCCACAAGTATGTATATACATGATATAATTGGCCCACCAATTTGTGCTAACACATATATACGCATAACGTTGCATTCATCATATTCCACCCGAGGTATCTAATCTATGTACCAGTATATCTTTAAATTTTAAATTACTGAAATTGTAGCTTCCTATATTTCCAGAAGTACAAAAAAATTCAACTCTAAATATTTGTTTTTCCAAATAATTGAAGTTTCAACTACTTCTATATATTGAGGAATTTCAGTATGAGTTTAGGGTAGTATTTTTTTTTCATGCAAGACGATTGGCACCGAGGTATAGATGTAGCAAATGATCGACCATCGGTAAATAATGTTTTCAACAAAGTTAAAAATAAAAGACATCGTCGTGAATAGTTTGTTAGTCGCTATATACTTTAAAACGTTCTATTTACATTAAAACACTCTAGCTTCGTCCTTCTTACAACAGTCTAGTGCGGTTTAACCGTAATGAATGGCTCCAAATATCGAAACGTATGAACGTAGTGTTTGTACGACTAAGTTTAGTTGGAAATAATTAAAGCGTGAAACTAGATAAATAAAGGAAATGGGTTGTTGACGAAAAAAACAAAGGGAAATGGGTTTAATAATTTGGAAGAAAAGACATAAAGCATCAAATGAAAGGAGTGGAAATTTAACAAATTTCCCAACAAAGCCACCAACTTCACTCATGGGATACTTTTTACTTATGAAATATCATAAAATATCATTTGCCTTAATGATTATTTCGAAGTCCCTATTGCTTTCTTGGGATTTATAACTTACTAATCTGGGAAAATCAAGAATGACATTTTTTTCTAAAACAGATTAATTAAGTGAACTCTTCTTAAAGGTCCTCGGCTGATAATCTTTATGGCTTAAACATGGAAAGTTTCCATCAAAGATGTTAAATCTAGTGATTAAGTTCTCAACCCTGTCTAGATTACCAAACTTACATTTAATGGGTAATTAAAGACACGTTTCCTTTTTAATTATTTAATTGATGGCCTTTTTTAAGCAACTCTCTCTACGTAAGTCCTTACCAGTTTTTATTAATTTCTCTTACTTTTTTCGTTTTCTGTCAGCATTTGATTTGTTTACATGCACATTCATAAACTGATAAATGTTAGACAGTTGGATCCAACTAAGAAATCGAATGGTGGACCATCTGTGCCATCTTTGATACTCCCAATTGCCTTTGTTGATTTTGTTTCTTAGACCAACCAATAAATGAGTAGATTAATACATAGATGAAAAATAATTCACCCAAAAAATAAAATGAAACGTAATTCAAGACTTATTAAGTGGCTACTCCTCTGCTGCACTTGTCGTATTCACCACCAAAGTAATCAAAATTTGTTCCCTTCATATTAAGGCCAATTAACTACAGACGAGTTAATTTACCAAGTTAAATTGTAGTATCTGTTGACAAATTCCCACCAAACAATTGAATCAATTTTGTTCAAAAAACAATCCATAATTCAAATGAATTGGATATTTCCCTAGTTTCACATGAATTAACAAAAGAAAATAAAGCCATTTCATTATTTTCCTTTCTTTTTTTTTGTTGGCATATCTCAAAGGATCAAACTTTAATTTTATATATTGTAGAGAATGAGAGAGCAAGCTCAAGTAGTAAGACTGATGGCATTTGACAAATACCTTTAGAATCCAAAAAATTGATTAAGCAATATTCATTTTTTCATTTCTGTATATTCATTCTTTTTATTAATTTTCACTGTTTTAAGTTCATTTCCACTTGGAACGTAGACGTTACTAGCAGTATTTTATCGTAGATATTTTTTCCATTTCTTTTTGTCATCTGCATTCATACAAACCCACTTCCTCATGTAAACTTGGATTTTGATACAAGCAATACTGATAAAAGTTACTAGTTTTGAGAGATATAATCTATTTTCAATCTCTATGAAAATGTAAAGAAAAATACCTTTTGTCCACGTCTAATTTCATTGCGTGCATATGTAGAAAACTCATGTTCTCGTCGTTTATATGACCGAGTCCCCACCAAACGAACTTTCTTCAAGCTTAATAATTGATATCCCTATATTATATCACATATGTGGTCATTAATTTCCACGGCTAATAGAGAAAGGAGAGCTATATAGTCCACTGATCTAATCTCTTATAAATATCTTGGCCAAAAATTTGACGTGTAATAAACATATACGAGTCGTTGTAAAATTACTTAAAATACATGTATTTAGGCTTTGATTGTTTGTTTATGTTTATATCTATTGTCTATCTTTTTTTTTTTTTAATTACAACTTTTAAGTATTTTTGCTATGGTATAAGCAGAAACGATAAAAGCAAACAAGAGGAATATCTTGCTATCATTTTGTTTGCACTTTGTAAAAATCTAGTATAAAAAAAAAACTGAAAATGTTAACATAGATTGGGTACGAACCAACCAAGAAATTATCCGACACTATTATAATGGAACGTGAATTGGTCATTAGAACGATCCAGTTATACTATTTGAGAGTTGAGGCAAACACAATTATGAACATAAACAACAAACTTAAAAGCCCAATAGGCATTGCCCGTGATATTTACTGTACCAATGTCGTCGGTTCTTCAACTCCTGCAAATACTGCAGTTTATGAGGTAAAAAAAAACAACATAAGAGTTTAAGTGATAACAATCACAAATCATGATGAGACACTTAACTCTTAAACGCGATTAGTTGAGCACTCTGAATCAGGCTGGTTCATCAACTCTTTGTACTTGTCCTGCAAAAGACTGACGATTTTATTCACTTATGGGTTTAAGTTTGGAATTAAATCGTCTCTGAACCAATAAATAAGCTATGATATGAGAGTTTTTATAAGAGGAATCTGAGTCAAAAGGTACTTCAAAAAGCTAAGATTGTTTGCGGAAAATGCATAGTACAGTGGCTGATGACTCGTGCTACTGTACAGTAGCTAATGATTCATAGAACATGGAGATAATTATTCAATTACTTTTGTACACTACTGCACTTATATCAGCAATTTTACGCAAGAAACACGGAGAAAACTAAGTTCACTTGCCTCAATCTCAAAGTGGTTGTGGTTATTAGTACTCTGCCAATGGCCACTGACAGTGTTATGCAGCAGGTACTCAGCCGAATCCAGTTGATTATCATCATCTTGTATCGATCTGCAGTCTGTGTTTTGGTGCTGACACCTTGGAGACGCTGATGGAATAACTTTTACTGCAATAAGAAGTAACTGAGAATCTGGTTTGTGTGAAGTTGTAACTGATCAACGTATCTCTCTTTTACATAGCAGGTCAGTTAAAAACCTTCACTTGGCATTCTATTAGAAGAAAATCCTTGTTTCCATATTAAATACATAGATTTATACACTGAAGATGTTGTGGTTTTATGTTGTTTCTGGTGATTATTTGGTTCTAAGCGAAGGAAATAACAACATAACAAAAGAAGAGAGCAGACCTGAGTTTTCTTGAGAATGCATAACAGGAGCTTCACATAGAAGTTCCTCCATTTTGTCAACTGTGTCATTGTGCCTAGTTAGTCAATCAAAGAGGAATAAGTATTGATTTGGGAATATTGATACTCACACTCAGACAGAAAAGCGACCTAGTTCATTCCAGAGTACAACCTTAAAGAGTATATCATATTAAGACAATTGGTATGCAATCTATTTCCCCTTCGATCAGTATCAGAGACAAAAAAGATGTTAAAGTGATTTTACAGACCTGGATCTTTTGTTTCTCTCATCGGAACCTTGTTCGAATGTCAGTATTGATGTAAACACCTTTCTATCCTGTAAAATCAAGAGAATGAAAGACGATTTGAAATAATAATTTGATCATTTGTATTTAAAGCTCACCACTAGACTATTATCCAAGGTTGGAATGTTAGAATGATAGAAAACTTCAATTCTCTGTTACCTCTTCAGTCATAAGGGATACAGACTCCTGAATCCGCTGTAAAATCATCTCTAAACCCTTCACTTCAGAATACAATGCCTAAACATTTGAGAAACTAGTTATAGAAACTGTTGAGGAAGAAAAAACGATCAAATTCAGTAGATAACTAATTACCTCTTTTTCAGAAATTAAGTTCTCTACAGCTAAATCTTTGACCTGCAAAGTTTTCTGAAGGTAAGGCTGGTCAAGTAAACATATACGTGAGAAATGATCCCCCACTAGTTTCTTTGAAAATGCAGTAAAACATGCAAGTTCTGATTAGGATATCTCTTCGACTTGATGTTGATGTTCATTTTTAATCTTTTCCGATTCCAGCTGAGCCGAAAGCTCTGATATTATATTCTCCTTGCTCTGCAATTCTGTTTCATGATATTCAAGTTTCTCTTCTAAAGCTCTGATGTTCTCTGCATAAGTGAAGAAGATAGACATCATTGTCTTCATAAAGGTGAACATAAAGAATTCGAGCCAAAGGAAAAGGCTACGAGAGTACATGAACAATTAACGTAGGAAAAACCATTAAGTAACCTATCAACAATCAGGTTAGCATCACCGGCAGATTCAATGAAAAGAGACTCACCTATAAACACTTTTTCATATGTTGAAACATGGTCCATTTTCTCTTTCAAGCCAGTCACTGGATACAAGAAACAACACAAACATAACCATTGTGTCAGGGGGAACCCGTGAAAGCATTAGAAGCATATCTTCAAGCAGAATTAGCAAGAGATGAGGGATCTACATGCCTACATCTTCTTTTTGATCCACAAGGTCCTGAACTTCGTGTATGACCTTCTTAATTACCGATGCCTCTTTCTCAATCGAATCAAACAATGCTAAATGAGAGGTTATCTTCTCATGTAGGATGGAAATCTTCCTATCCCTGGCTTCAATTGAACATTTCATTTCACAAAACGACTCCTGCAAACACACCACCAGTTCACCAACTTAAGTTACACAATTCCATATTATCGAAAATCGGCTGGTCACCCATCATGAAGATGATTCTCTAAGGTATTTCTATCCCCTAGATATAGTATAAAACTTTGACAGGATGAGACAAGCACCTGGTAAGCATTTAAGAAGCTTTCTCGTGATTGAAGCAGATTTTGGATAGTTGTCTTCAATTCACTCTGCTTGTTTTCCAGCAAACTATAGTCGTTCTGAAGATAACTCACCTGCAAAATCAATTAAAAACTTTCACAAACTCCATGTGTAATAGATTCGCAGAAGAATAAGAATCTTCCAAACCTTTCTCTCAAGTGCCTCCTGTGTTTCTCTAGAAGAAGCTAACTCAGCTTGTAGCTCCTGCACTTTTCTGATGTATTCCTCCTCCGTTTGCTTCTGTTTCTGTATATCACGATTCACGAATCAGAAACGAAACAGAAACAAGAGCCATGAACAGTAACATTGATTGAAGAACCTGATTCGCAAGATTAATGTGATCTGTGACTGATCGCTCCCTTTCCTGCAAAAACGCCGGTAGTAAAGTGGAAGGAGAAGAAGAGAGAAAATGGTGGAGCGAAGAAGATACACAATCCATAGATGTATAGAAACCTCTTTCTTCTTACACGAAGATCTCGCACTTCTCCGATCATTGACTGAAGCTGCAATTTGAATTTTGACAACTTGAGCAGCTCCATTTTTTGTTTCTTCCTCCGAATTTGAATTTCAACCGCCAGAAAATCTCTTCTCTGATTTTTTTCCGGAGAAAAAAAATTGTCAACTAGAGCAAAATTAGGTCGTCGGAATTGTCAAATAAATAGTTTAGAGAAGTTAATAGCCCAGGTTAACGACAAAAACCAAAACAGGACAGGTTAATTTACTTTATTCTATATGGGCCCAATAAAAAGTCATATATTCATTAGCCAATGGAGAACACAAATCCATCTTATCTTAACTAACCAGGGGCGGATTTCGAAAATATTTTTACCGAGAGCAATAAAAAATTACATACTATTTACTATTTAGTATTGTTATATTATTATTTCTAAATATCTATATAGTAAAGGATAATACTCCCTCTGTTTCACAAAGAGTGTCATTCTACCATTTTACACACAAATTAAGAAAAATATTTAATTTCTATTTTACCCTTTATTAATATACTAAAATTGTTTCTCTCTCTAATTAATAAGTTGAAAAAACAGGGGTAAAACTGAGAATTGATTTAAAAATCTGCATTGAAAACACAAAACGACACTCTTTATGAAACAAAAATAAAACCTCAAAACGACACTCTTTGTGAAACGGAGGGAGTAATATTTATCTAAACTTCATAATAGCTAACTAAAATTTTATTTTCAGCTATTACATTATTAAAATAGTGTATAAACAGTAATATTTCATATTTTTGAAAAATGCATTAAGTATGGGAAAATATATTAGTTAGAGAATATGTATAACTTTTTGAATAACACTAAAAACAAAATACAATCATTGTTTTGAAAATAAACAAAAAAAAATGCTACATCAAAAAGACATTTAAGATAGAGCTAAATCAAAAAGAAAAAATCAATCTAAGCAAAATAAAAGTAATATTAATTTTGGAAATGCTACGTATAGAATTTAGAAAGATAAACAATACTTGCTAAAATTTAGGACAACGTGAAATTTGATCATGAGTTTAGGATGGGCAAGTTACTTCAATTTATCATTAGACCTTATAAATCTGCTAAATTAATTAAACTAATTTCTTCAACTACATAGATCCGCCTATCATAACTAAGGTCCTTTAATATATTCATGGCTGACATAATCCAAGCCGCTTCTACTTTCATGTTATTTGTCATGGTGAAAGCGCTTTTCGAGCAGAAGAATATAGAACCACTTCGAAGACGTGGCTGTAATATCTACACTCGCTAAGAAAGTTCTTTCCTGTTTCAATCTTGCGAATCGAAGAGTGTTTCGACATTTTAGTTGAGCTCGATCGGAAGAAGCCAAACTATCCCAATGTTCTACACAATAAGACAATTGCCGAGTACTTCTAATTGGGTTCCGTTTACTTTCCCAAGTGTTTTCGCATTTCATCTGCACAGACCTAGCCCTTGACACATTTTTGTGATACATTTGTATTGGGCCTCAAAAATTTGAGGCTCATTTTGTGGGATTTTTTTTTAAGCCCCATCATTGGCTTTCTCGATGGCATTACTTTCTAAAAACTTTGACCAACAGTTCTTGTGATGCAACGCTAACCTATAGTAAGCGTATGCGACTTCGTTTTTACCGACTTCCCCAACAGATTCGTACGAAGCTAATGCCCCTCTTAAAGCATTAATGGCTGATAGACAAGGAGAAGAATCATCACTAATGCCCCTCATTAATACATGAGGTGCAAGAGCGGTTGTGTTTTCTTCAGACAAGTGAATAGCAAGCCAAAGATACGCATGGCCAAGCCGTCGGTAGACTTCAACTCTCACAGATTCTGGAAGCAAACTACCATTCTCTATGATAGTATTGAATTCTGTCTCTGCTGCGATATAGTACCCAAGTGAGGCTACATATTCTAGTGTTGTAGCCTCCACAGCTTCTTTGTGAGCTCTTTCAGCAGTCCGGTGCAAGGTAATTTCCTTTTCTTTGGCTCAAGTTAGTCGCATCCACCTCACCAAGACGGAAGAGATGATGAATCAATATGAGAATAAGTGTCGAGTATTTGAAAAATGAATGTAGCGTTTGTCTAATTCTTGAGAAAATATCCAATAGTATGTAAAACTAGTACTTTTTTTATGTTGAATGTAATATTTCTTAGTAAACACGTTATTCTTGTTTCTCTATACTCACATTATATTTCATTAAAAATTTAAAATTGTAATGATGATTTAAGAAAATTGGTCAAGTAAGTGTTTGGTAATGTACATAAGTAGTACCAAATGTCAATAGTTCAACTAGATTACTTATTAAGTATTTCTTAACTAGATTACATGTTAAAGATTCTATACACTAATTAGAAATACATAATTATCGTTTAATTTCTTTTTTTTTTTACGTAAAAATATCATTGAATCAAATGATTTAAGTTTAACCAATAAAAATATATACTATAAAATATGATTTGTATAAAAAAATAAATGTCTTGCATAAAAGTTGAAAATAATCACGCTAAAGAAGCACCTAAATGTTAATGAAACAAGCTTCTATTTTTTTTCGCCATTATAGACTCTCTGTATAAAACCTTTACTAGTTGGTGAATTATCTGTATCATCCGTTTACAAATTAAATAAAAGCCAGATGTTAAAAAAAGAATAAAAAAAAAGAATAAATGATGTCTCTTATAACAATTGACTTTGCCGAAGAAAAAGAAGAAGCTGACTTTGCGATAGTATATGGGCCTATGCCTAATACAAAATGGGCTTTATTGCGATTGATTATATATTGTCGAGAAGTGAGATTTTTTTTTTGGGTAAGAACTGAGATAATAATAAATAAATAACCACCTCATAAAATAGCCAAAAAAAATATTAAAAAATGGGTCCGGTGTGTTCCACGGCGGTACAGATCGCAAGCTCGGTTAATCGGATAATTCAGAGAGGGTAAAATTTAGTGAAGCTGAATTTTGAGGTTAGGCCGGGAGGATTAAGCGTTGATTCGTCGACGAATCACCTGCGAGCACCGTCTCGAACGGTGACGCTGGGCCGTATACAGCCTCAGGCTCCGACTTGCCGTACCGTCTACTGCAATGATCGAGATGCTAATTACGCCGTCCGTTTCAAGGTACTTTTGGTCCTCATTTCCGCAATCATAATGTTCTTCTACAGAAATGCGCATTTTCAATGTGTTGTTCTGAATCATCCGTTGTTGATAATGCGTGATCCTCTTTGTTGCAGGGTAATTCAATTTCTACAACAAAGTATACCCAAAGGTCTGTTTGAACAAGTAAGTCTTTTTTTGGTTGTTTAAAGTGATTCAGTACTGAAGCTAATAGCTATAAGTTGCCAGTTGGAGAGTAATTATGTGCTTTCTGACAGTTTAGGCGCATTGCCTCGGGAAATCTCAAAGCACACTGGTTTTGCCTTTGACTCACCTGGTTATGAGTCGTTCTTTGCATCTCAATTGGGTATATACGCTCCGCAGAAAGCATGGGACGCGGCTAGGAGAGCCAGCATGAGGTCACGACCCAAAGCACCAAAGAAAAATTGAAAGGAGAAGAAGAAAATGGATACTGTATATGAGTTGTGTTGTATACTTAGGCGGTCAGTTTTGTTAGGCCTTTAGTTTGTATTGGAAATATGTAGAAATCTTGGCTTAGGCGTTTTAGCTTTCAAAGCCTTCATTCTGAGGTATGTAGGCACAAATGAAAAGACAGACGCTCTATTTTATATATATAGAAGCCTCTCCTACAAACTTTTTTATAGCAATCATCTCAACAACAAAAAAATGATGTGTTTCTTTCTTTCTAGGGGAAATTCGAACTCCACTTAGAAAAAATAATAGAAAAGGGCACATCTACAATGATACATAAGCAATAAAACTGCAACTTCAAAAAATTATATATGGTCGGGACCAGAAAAAACAGAGAAATCACAAAAAATAATCAGGGGTCTTACGGGTAGTATCAGGTTCAACTTGTCGAGGAGCTGGATCGAACTGGAGGAAGTTTTGCTCCATGTTCTCTCCTATCTCTAGAATCGCTGCCATGTTTCCACATCGGTAGCAATAGTTTGGTGCACTAAACACAGTCACCACATTCTTATCCTGTTACCATTCAAAAGAAAAGAGATCAACGATTCAATCTGCAAGAGACAGACCAATGATGCCGTAGAACCTTAAGCAGAGAGATGACCCCATGAATGTACATACCTGACACCAGTTAAAACCTTCCATGACTAGTTGATGCGCTCTTGATATGAGACTGAGTCCATTGTTGTGATTAAATTGAGCTGCGATATCCTGTCCAAATGTATAACCAGCACCTCGTGGAGATATTCCCCATCCACATCGATCATCGGGATCAGACCATAATAAATCACACATAGGTCCTTCGTGTGGAACCTACAGATCACACAATACATAGTTCAAAGAGATGACCAGTAAGATGCATATAGAAAATTTCAATCTTTTTTGCTCTTTATATCTTAAGTAGAGACTAGAGAGAAGATGCTGAGACCCAGGAAGAACTCCTAACTCTTCCAATATAGTCCAAACTAAGGCCTTTAGCAGAGAACAAGAAGGTTACCTCCTGTATCCGATCCAAGCTTCGGATATTATCAAGAGTATCCAGAGAAGGTGAAAGCCCTCCATGCAAACAGAAAACCTGTAACGGATAACATTTTATGAAGTCAAAAACTTTACTTAAGAAAAAGATGTCCCAACTGAAAAGAACAGCTCAAACCTGACTCTCGATGAGGGCGGTAAGAGGAAGATAATCGAAAAGATCTGTAAAATACTTCCAGACATTTGCATTTCCGTACTTCCTCAAGCATTCGTCATAAAAACCATAGCTGAAACAGAGAAGCAAAACAGGCATCAAACAGGATAGTACTTTGATGATTAGTCAGAAACCAATGAAGAAAAGTATGCTCGCTCAGATATAAGCTTACTACGAAACAAAGCTTACACTTGAGTAATCTGACGACTCTCGTGATTCCCACGTAAGATTGTAATTCTATCCCTGTATCGCACTTTCAGTGCCACCAATAGAGAAACTGTCTCTACTGAATAGTAGCCACGGTCTGCAAAGAACAAAGCAAGACAATGAGAAACCAAAAAACATTCCTTTTAAACTAAAACTAGCTGTCACCATCATATATTACAACACTGGATGGTTAAAAGTTCCAAAGGATCTAAAGACTAGAATTCAAGGAAGTGCAATTATGAAAGCGAGCATCAACAAGTCTCTAAATTGGGAAATTTCAGTACCTACCAGTCAAAAAAGCAAAAATTGAAAATAAGTTGTTCATTCCAAAAACAAAACAGAACACACAAGTAACTCACTTTAGATATATAAAAAAGGTGGATACTTTTCCAAGAGTTCACCATTTCGAAATCATCCAAAAACACAGATCTAAAAAAGTGAAAACACACCAAAAAAAAAATGAAAGAGAAATCGAAAGAAGAAGAAAGACAGACCTACATAGTCTCCCATGAAGAGGTAGTTAGTATCAGGAGCGTTGCCACCGATTCGAAAGAGCTCAATAAGGTCATAAAACTGGCCGTGAATATCACCGCAAACGGTAACAGGACACTTCACCGGCTGAACATTATATTCCTCGACAAGGATCGCTCTCGCTTGATCGCAAAGCGTCCTCACATCCGCCTCTGATAACGGTTTACACTCCATCAGCTGCTCGATCTGACGGTCCAGATCTCCGTTCGACGGCATCTTGAAAAGCCACCGCCGATCCTATCTACGACGTACGGTGGAGAACGAAGATTAATCGCCGGAGATTGTATCAGCCAGGCTAAGATGTTCGAATCGGAGATCAAGTCCTAGCTCTCTGATCTTCGATGTCTCTCTCTCACCTGGCTGAGAAAAAAATGGGTTATTTGTTTTTTTTTTTTTTTTTTTTTTTTTTTTTTTTTGTCAAAGATTTGTTTTGTTTTTTAAGACTAAAGAAAACCAAAGAGACAAGGTACAAATGTGAAATCAATGTTTTATGACCCGGTTTAAGTTCGGTTTTGTGTTATTTTACTAGTCTCACCAATTGTTATAAACTTATGATGGTTTTTTTTTTTTTTTTTTTTTTTTTTTTTTTTTTTTTTTTTTTTTTTTTCTTTGGTTCTAAACAAAATTTTGATTTTTAGTAGTTTTTTTTTTCTGTTTGATTCGTTGGGTTTTTTTTTTTTTATAACTTTATTCCTAAATTATCAAAACAAACAACAACAGAGAGAATTGAGTCCTAACCGGATAGGATTTGGATTGTGAACCGTGACACGTGGAGGTCTGGAGCCGAGCTGTGCTAATTTGAATTTGTCTAAACGAGTAGGTGTAATTGTATATGGGACAAATCATTTCCTCCTTCTCATTCGGTAATTAATTAGTCAACTAATTTTTGTTTTTAATATTATGCTTTAGATTTGATAAATTTGCTTTAATGTTGTAGGTAGAGAGGAATGACATCATTTTCCTTTTCGAGACACCCTCGTTTTCTCTCTAAACCTAATCGCCGTCTTCAACCTCTACTTCTTGGCTCAGGTCTGACCGGCGCGTGGCGGCTCCTACAGCGTCGGCGTCGGTCTCCTCTTTAGTTTCTTGTCTTTGCTTTCTTCGATTGTGGAAGCGTGGTGGTTTTGGCGAGGCGATTTGGGTTGTCGTAATTCTCGGATCTGATGGAGATTGGTTCATTGAGATCAGAATCGAAAGGCCTTAAGGTAGATGGTGTTAATGGAGCCGCCGTTCTCGCTATCGCCTCTGTGTGTGGTGCCTCTTCTTGTCTCATTCCAAGTGCTTCATTGTGTTTGGAGCATCGGAGGCTTTGTCTATCTCCTTTCATCGGTTCTGAACTACAGCGGCTCTGGTTCTCGGTGGCCCGTTTTTTCCTCTCGCCTCCCATGTTTCCTCTTATCTTTCGCTTTTCCTTGATTGTGCTTGCTATAGATCTAGTTGTTTGAGTTAAAGGTTTTGTTGGTGCTTTTGGCCTGGGCAGAAGTTATGTTTGGCTTGTTTTTGGCTCTATCTCCACGGCTTATTGTATGGCTTTGCTGTGCGTTCCGGTGTAGGGCTATGCTCGATTTAACTCTCTGTTTTGGGATCCTAGTTCTTCTGCTCCGGTTGCTTCCTCTTGATTGCGCGTGGTTCTTTGGTGGGCTCGGTTCGTGTTTGGGGTTTGTCACTCGGATGGTACATCGCTGCAGGTGCATCTACTAGCTTTTCTCTGAAGCCGTCTTCGGTTTTTTGTGGTTGGGTTCAAGGCGCAGCAGTGGTTTCGTTCTCTAGTTCTTCTCTTGCGAGGTCGTGACCGGTTCTTGTCTGTAGGTGGCATTGATTGGTTCGCTTTGTCCGCGTGTAAGCGTTGGTGATCCTCTTTGACTTATCCCCGGCCGATTTCAAAGTTTCTCTTTGTACCTAGTTTCGCTCGAGCTCATGCCCCGGATGGAGGAGGCGTGTTGGTGTTTGTTGCTGTGCTCTGTTATCGGATTGTTCCTGCTCTCTGTCCTGTCGGGCTGTGGCTGGTTGAGTTCTCGGATTCGTTCTTCTTCGGGTTCTCCAGTTTGTGGGAGATTGTCGGTTTGGTTGTTTCTTCTTGAGGCTCATGGTTCTTGGTTCAGCTCCGACGTAAACTGGTTCCCTGGGATTGTTTGTGGGTTATGATGGTGTCGAGTTCAGATTTAGTTCTTAGGTTCCTTTTGGGCTTACCTTCTTTTGCCTTTTGCTTATAGTTAGCTTCCCTTTTTTGGGCTTAGTTTCCGGGGATATTTATGTTTTCCGCCGGCTTCGTTTCCGAATGAGTTTCGACTCTTGTCGGTCCTGTGTTTCAAAACGTATTCTACCTTGTAATTCTCCTTGGCTTATTCTAATGGTAATCATTCAGTCGAAAAAAAAAAAAGTTGTAGGTAGAGAGGCTTGGGAAAACAAAATTGCCAAAATAAAAAAATGGGGGCGTTCCGAGAATTGAACTCGGGACCTCTCGCACCCTAAGCGAGAATCATACCACTAGACCAAACGCCCATTGATGTTAACTCTGACAGTATATATTTGAAATACGTAACCATTTGGAACAATTAATTTCCATATGAATGCAAATCAAACCTAATTTAAAGTTTTATCATCTAACAATGAAATTCATAGACCTAACATTTTTTTTCCCTTACATATATCTTTCCACTTGTAAGAAAATATGACCAAGCTTTTAGGTAAAATTAGGATATTATATTTTACTTACTACAAACAATACCACACAACCATTTATAAACCAGATTTAGTTTGAATACAAAAAAAAAAAAAAAAAACCCTAACGCTTTTGACTTGGTTTTTTTTTTTTGGGGATGATTAACGTAATTTTAAACCGATAAATATGATTTGGAATTGAAAAATAAAGCAATTTTGTACGTAACCTTCTATTTAGCTCCGAAGGTCTGATTCTATACAGACACAAAGATTTTCTTTGGGTATATATAAACAAGTTCCTCTCTTCTTCGTTTTCTTCTTCTTCTTCTTCTTCTTTTCTCGTTCCGTTGCCTTACCCTCTTCCCTCGTCAGAGATTGCTCCTAATCAGAAGCAATCTCACCTTTGAATCATCTATTTTCAAATATTCTACCAAAAGGAAGCTTCTTGTACTTTTCATTTTGCCAAGTTTCCGTCTAAATCTCCGGCGGCCTACGTTTCCACCGATCCTCCGACTTCTTTAAAGTTTCATCTTCTTACAAAGGAACGACGAAGCTCTGTTCATCGTTTGAGTAGCGTGATCCGGTCTACAAAGGTTTTAAATCAAGATCTCTTGCTCAGAATTTTTTTCCTCGTTTTTTGTGATTTCTTTTTCGTTTTTCCGTTGATAGATCTATTACTGGGGAAAACGATTACGAGCTATTTCTCTGGGCTTGGACTATTTCAAGGTTCTTAGTTTCGTTTCGCTGCTTAAAGCCTCTCTTTTTCTTCCTTTTCAGAAATCAGTCTGCGGGAGAAAGAGGAAGACGAAGATGAAGAGAGTTAGAGAAGATGTTCACACTGAACCTAATAAGCGAAGGCCTGAAGTTTCGTCTCGAGGAGAAACGTAACTCTCTCGCTCTATAACTCCAATTTTTTTTGTTGTTTGTTCTTTTCAATTTTACTTTTGTTCGGTAGTCACAAGTTAGATTCTTGAATGCAGTTTGCTGCAATTGAAATGTGTAAAGAGTATTAAAAAGTTATATGTGTTTGTGCAATGCAGAAACAAGCAACCTCGAACCGTCGACGCCCTAACTTATCTCAAAGCTGTTAAGGACATTTTTCAAGACAATAAAGAGAAATATGAGTCATTCCTTGAGCTCATGAAGGAGTTTAAAGCTCAGAGGTATATTTACTTCTCTTCTCATGTCGTTTTGTTTCATTTTGTTTTTCTTATGTGTGTATTGTTGATGTCACATTGTGAACTGAGTATACTCATGGTGTCTTATGTTGGTTGGTTGCAGAATCGACACTGATGGTGTCATTGAAAGAATTAAAGTATTGTTCAAGGGTTATAAGGACCTACTTTTAGGTTTTAATACTTTCTTGCCCAAAGGCTATAGAATAACCCTTCTGCCGGAGGAAGAGAAGCCAAAGGTCCGGGTGGATTTCAAAGACGCTATCGGTTTCGTCACCAAGATTAAGGTATGTATGTAATGTGGTAAATCGCATACCATTGTAATGTTGATTTTATATCAGTTAAGGTTTACTGGAGTTTCTACTTTTGCAGACGAGGTTTGGAGATGATGAACATGCGTATAAAAGGTTTCTAGACATCTTGAACATGTATAGAAAGGAAAGAAAGTCCATCTCTGAGGTCTACGAAGAGGTATGTTGTTTATTAATGCCCAGAGTGTTAATTCTTCTAACTTTCTGCTTCACATTTTATTTGTTAGAGTCACTGTCTTAGTGTATTTCTCTTATATCATCTGTTGTGTAGGTTACTATGTTATTCAAGGGTCATGAAGATCTGCTCATGGAGTTTGTTAATTTCTTACCTAACTGTCCAGAAGTAGCTCCCTCGGCAAATAATGCAGTGCCGCGTCACAAGGGCACTGCAATCACTGCCATGCATTCTGATAAGGTTACTCTTATTCATCTTTGTAAAGGATAGAAATATTGCAGTTAGTAAGGTTTTAATGGATGTTTGTGGTAGCATAACTCCATTGTGGCCATACATCCTTTCCTCCACTGTTTTAAGAGTCTCATAAATTAAAATCAAGATAGAATTAAGCATAATGATACAGAATTTATATTGTGAGTTTTTGAGTGAACTGTTTATATAGACTCTTATTTGCCACAGAAAAGAAAACAACGACGTAAGCTTGAGGATTATTCTGGACACTCTGATCAACGAGAAGATGGTGATGAGAATCTTGTCGCTTGCTCCGCTGGTAATTCTCTTGGAAGTGAATATTTGGATGGCCTGTTACATTTCTTCTATAGTTGAGCTTTATGATTGTGAAAATGTCTTTCAGTACCTAGTGAATTCAATATAAGCAAGCAAGTGATATATGTCTCAAACGTGCCCTCATTTTGAGTACTGTGACCATGGTCAAATTTTTCTTTGTTTATGACTTAAGTAGTCAGTGGTTTGTATCCGGTTCTGAGGTTCAAGTATGTTAATTTTTGCAGACTCCCCTGTTGGAGAAGGTCAGCCAGGATACTTTCGAGATTATGAAAATAGAGAAGATACTGAAACAGATACAGCAGATAGAACTGAAAAAAGTGCAGCATCTGGCAGTCAAGATATGGGAAATCACAAATCGACTACCAAGTATGTGGGAACACCTATAAATGAGCTTGATCTTTCTGAGTGCACTCAGTGTACCCCAAGTTATCGACTCCTGCCAAAGGATGTGGGTGTTTTCCTTAATAATATTGTTCTACTACACTGTAATTACTGTTACCATTTCGTTCTCTTATAATCATATGGTTGGTCTTTTCCCATGCAGTATGCAGTTGAGATCCCAAGCTACAGAAATACACTTGGTAAAAAGACACTCAATGACCACCTGGTATCTGTCACCTCAGGGAGTGAAGATTACTCATTCAGTCATATGCGCAAAAACCAGTATGAAGAAAGCTTGTTTCGGTGTGAGGATGACAGGTATGATCTGGTAGTTTGTTGACAAATTTCGTTATCAACTTTGTATATACAGTACAGTAGGTTCTTGTATCCTTTTTCTATATCCATATAGATTTTTTCCTATAACTTTGGCATGCTTAAGTTTATCTTCTATATGGTTGGGTCTTCTCTCCTTTCATAGAACCTATAAATGGAGAAATAGTGATTTGTTGTTATTCGTAGAACCCCCCAGTTTAACATTTCTGTAATTTGTGTTCAGGTATGAAATGGACATGTTACTAGGATCTGTAAGTTCAGCCATTAAACACGTGGAAATTCTTCTCGAGAAGATGAACAACAATACTATCTCAGTAGACTCTACTATATGTATCGAAAAACACTTATCAGGTAAGTTTTTAGTTTGGAACAAATCTAGTGTGGCTATATTTTGTCATTCCTTCATTTATTTTTGCTAATAACTTTCTATGTGATTGTATCTAATAGCTATAAACTTGAGATGCATTGAGCGGTTATACGGTGATAATGGGCTTGATGTCATGGATCTTTTGAAGAAGAATATGCATAGCGCTTTACCGGTGATACTAACGCGCTTGAAGCAGAAGCAAGAAGAATGGGCAAGGTGCCACTCTGATTTCCAGAAAGTTTGGGCTGAAGTATATGCTAAGAATCACCATAAGTCACTAGATCATCGTAGTTTCTATTTCAAGCAGCAGGACTCTAAGAACTTGAGCACAAAATGTAAGCTTCTTTATCAAATTTTTTACTTAATTAGTTCATTATGTAAAAATCTCAACCTACTTTAGGTTTGATAAAAGCACTTGACTTTTTTTGGCCGCACTTGAAATTTCGTGATTTTGAAGAAAGGATGATGAAGCGAGAGAAAGTTTTTGTTTTTTTTTTAAATTAGATTGCTGGTTATGAGAGTAGAGTGCACCCAGATTTTTACTTATTTCGGAGTTACAGTTTTGCATCAATACAATTGATTCCTTGTGTCGTTAAATTCAGGTTTAGTGGCAGAAGTAAAAGATATCAGTGAGAAAAAGCATCAAGAAGATCTCCTTCAAGCTATATCTGTTAGAGTTATGCCCTCATTTACTCCGGATTTGGAGTTCAACTATTGTGATATACAAATTCACGAGGATCTCTATCTGCTAATCAAGTATTACTGTGAAGAAATATGTGCCACTGAACAATCAGATAAGGTGATGAAGCTGTGGATAACCTTTTTAGAGCCCATGTTTGGCATTCTTTCGAGGTCTCAAGGTAACCATGCTCTGGAAGATGTGTCAAAGTTGAAAAACAACCAAGAATTGCAAGATGCATTCGTGGCAGCGAAGGATACAGCTTCTGGGTCAAACCTTAAACATCCAATATCCCCGAAACTACTGAACAAAGATAATTTAACAATGCAAGGAAGTTCTCCTCGGAAAGATGTCTCAGCGAATATAATGAAAACTGCTCAGCCCGATAAGCTGCAGGATGATGCAGCTATGACTAATGAGGTAACTCCTTGTGTGGAGTTTTTTAAAACTCAGGTCGTATGCACTTCAGTTGTGATGAAATTAAATGAAAGGTTACCTTCCTTTGTTACCAAATTGAAAACTTGATGAGCAATCAGTAGAGACCAGTCGTGATTGTATCTATTTATGAGACTTTATAGAGATTAACCTAATTCTGGTTTATGGTCCACAGGTTATCCAGTCTTCCAAACTTGTGTCACCCAGAAATGATCAGATAATGGAGGATGAAGGGAATCATATGGTTAACGAAGCATCGGTGGAAAAGCATGAGGTTGAGCGAGAAGAGGGTGAATTATCTCCCACCCCCAGTCGTGAGCAAGGCAACTTTGAGGTTAATGGACAGAATGGCTTCAAGCCTTTACAAAAGATGACGGACAATGTAAGAAGCAATAAAGACCAGCAAAGTTGTGATATAAAGGGAGCATATCATACTGAAATCGGAGCAAAGAACGATACTCGCGCTGAAGATGACAAACAAGAAAATTGTCACAAGTTATCAGAGGATAATGAGACTGCCTCTGAAATGCTTGTTTCAGGAACCAAGTTTAGTTGTCATGAAGAGCACAACAGAGTTACGAACTGTAATGGGCGTGGTAGTGTTGCTGGAGAGATGGCTATTGGAAATGAAGGTGAAGATGGATCCTTTGCATTTTCAGAACGGTTTCTGCAAACTGTAAAACCTGTTGCCAAGCATCTGTCTTGGCCATTGCAAGCTAGTGAAACGTGCTCCCAAAATGATTCTCAAGTTTTTTACGGGAATGATTCCTATTATGTGCTATTTAGGCTTCATCAAGTAAGGACTGTTTGAAGCAAGCTTCTTGAGTCTTTAATATGATGGTTTTCCAATCCCGTGCTAATTTCTATGTACTTCTGTTGATTTCCAGATGTTGTACGAGAGAATACAAACAGCAAAGAAACATTCAGAAAAGAAGTGGAAGGCTCCAGATAACACAACTCCTGATTCTTATCCCAGGTGATTTATCTTCCAAGTTAATAGCTTTGTATTGGAAAACGATTCCATACTGATTTTCAAAGCATAACACGTTTAGGTTCATGGATGCACTCTATAATTTACTTGACGGTTCTATTGACAATACAAAGTTTGAAGATGAGTGCCGAGCTATTTTTGGAGCACAGTCATATGTTCTTTTCACATTGGACAAGCTAGTTCAGAAGTTTGTTAAGCATGTGAGCAAAACTAGTGTCTTGTCTTCTTGACTCTCTACTTCCATTCTCTCACTTTTATTTCTCTCTTTCATCTGATTATTGGGATGGTTTTTGGATATGCTTCAGCTCCATGCGGTTGCATCTGATGAAACAGACACCAAGCTTCTGCAACTACATGCGTATGAGAACTACAGAAAACCGGGAAAATTCTTTGATCTTGTGTATCATGAGAATGCATGTGCCCTCCTCCATGAGGCAAACATATACCGGATCAGATATGTAGGTTTCTCTTAGCTACGCATATTTGTCCATTCAAATTCCATAATTTATTAATACTACTTTGGAAGTGATTGCAGTCATCAGCAGAAACACGTCTCTCGATTCAGCTTATGAACAGCGGGAACAATCAGCCTGAAGTAATGGGTGTAGCGATGGAGCCGGGTTTTGCAGATTATCTACAAAATAAATTTCTGAAATCCGTCAATGATGAAGAGAATCACGGACTGTTTCTGAAAAGGTGAGTGAAGCATGATAAGAGCATATGGTATTTATGATATAAATATTCTTTTGGTTGTGAAGTAATGTTTAACTTAACTCTCTGCAGGAACAAGAAGAAATTCACCAGCTTAGATGAATCTTGGGGGATGCCCGTTGCGATGGAAGGATTGCATATTATCAACGAGATGGAATGTAATATGGCTTGCAGTTCTTCAAAGGTACAACATATAATGAAATTCTCTGTAGAAGACTTTCAGTCTGAAATGTATGTTTGTGGATGACTGAAACTTACTTTGCCAATGATTCAACTGCTGTAGGTGAAGTATGTAGCAAATACATCAGATGTTTTGTATAGGAGCAAACAGGGGAAACCGAATTTAAAGGAACCGAGGCTTAAAAGAGTCGGTGAAATCTTGAAACAGAGAAGGATATCGCGGTTTCACATAATGCTGAATTGCAGACTTTGTGCCTTGCCTCCTCTATAAACTGGTACCTGCTCCAATTCTTCCATTAAAAGTTCTCTCTTACATAACACAAAGGCTGTGAGACCTTCCTCGATGTAACGGTTCTTCATTTGTGATACTTAATCTTTGTTTCAGGTGTTAGTGTCGAGGTTCTTAAAGGTAAAGGCTCGTTGGCTCTTAGAGATTATGCAAAGCTTTTGGTGGTCGAGAAGTTTACTCGTCTTTAACGTGACATGGACTGGGATCATATGGCTCATGGTTCACTACGCGGCTACTCCACATTTTTTGTTTGTTTTTCTTTTTTGCGTTTTGCGTTCGGAGTCTTCGGTTTTGGTGTATAGTTGTAGACTTGTAGTAGAATATATGATACGAAAGTTGCCAAAATCGAAAGACGCTTATTTAGTTCATTTCCTTTAAGGACAAAGTTGTACACTTTAAAATTAATATTTTAATAACTACCACCATCATGCCTAAAAAAACAAAAAACATTTTATTTTATAAATTAATCTTACAACAAATTCAAGTTATTATTAATAATATAGGACACGCGTAGACCAAGAGACCTAGGAATCCTATATATGTAGAGCCATACCCTTTTTCAAACCAAAACACTACAAACTAGTTTTAAAAAATGGCAAAGAATAACGATATCAATCTGGAATTGAGTCTAAGCCAGTATGTAGAAGATGATCCTTGGGTTCTAACGAAGAAGCTAAGTGACTCTGATCTTTGCTATAGGGCTCAGCTCTATTTACCAAAACAAGAGATGGAACAGTTTATACTTCCGGAGATGGAAAATGATCTTGTCCGGAAATTGGGAGCTGGCGTTGAGATCAAACTCAGAGATATTGACAGTGTTAACGACGATTCTTACACCGTAAGACTTAAAGTACGCAACGGCCAGTATTATCTCGAAAAAGGATGGCGCCTCATAAAAAATGATAAGGGTTTAAAAACAGGAGATCATATTGGACTCTTTTGGGATAAGTTGACAGGAGAATTCAAGTTCAAGCATTTCAAATCTCAATCAACAACAATCCATCGTGAAGCGGGTACTACTTCGACACAGAAGAAGAAATTAAAGGAGAAATAAATACACACAAGTAACACAAACCATCACAAATGTAAGAGAAATGTGTATAGGTAATCTTAAAGTATATATATTGGGGAAATGGTCGTGTTATCCTCGTAAAACAGAACAGTGATAGAAAAAAATTATGCTTCTCTTTATGAGTTAATCTATGAATGAACGAACGTAATAAGTAAAAAGAAACATGTACATGTGAAAAAAGTTTTTTTTTAACGTATGATCAGAATCTAGAGCAAGCGATAAGAAGTTATTTTAATAAATATGGAGGAGAACGATGCTATTTACAAGACTAATTTTGTGGTCTTTACATATTTCCATGGATCATAAATCTTTCACATTCCAAATACATTCATAGTTAACAATATAGCTAAAGAATTGCAGAAAAACTCAATTCGGGAGCTTAATTATATCCATTTTTAGTGAAATTGTATAGTTTTAAGTTAGTCTTATACATTTATCTAGTTATAGGTTGATCGTATAGTTACATATAGTTTTACTGGTTTTAGCATTTTAGCCTTGAAGACTTTTGCGGATCCTAGCAACATCCTGGCCGTTGATATCATAAGCGCTCTTCAAAACCTCTTCCAGAAACGGAGGCTTTGAATTGAAAGACGACAAAGACACAATCTGAGTCCCAGGATTCTGACTATTCAGCCCAGAGACTGCCAAAGCTGAGCTCACCGTATCAATGTTATATAGAAAATGAATCAACCCTTTGGGAAACACGAATGTCTCACCCGGATGAAGCTCCTGGGTAAAGACCCGACCGGACGTATCCACGAACCCGACGAGAAGGACACCGTCTAGGCAGACGGTTACTTCCGAGGCGCGTGGGTGCACGTGCGGTGGGACAACACCAGAGCCTCCGAAGTCAAGCCTGGCCATTGTGAGGCCCATTGTGTTGAGACCTGGGAGGTTAGCGGTTGTGGTGACAGTGACGTTGGTCATAAACGGTTTGGTCTGAGTGTTTCCGGGTCTGGACAATGCGGAGGTTGTAAAGTCGGAGACGGTGGCTTGTGTCGGATCCTTGCAAAGTACGCCATTGAGGAAGATTTGTTGGTGTGATGAAGGAGAAGGAGAAACACAGTAGTCTTGGAGCGGGTCTGGGTCGGATTTAACCCGACCCATCAGAAGTGTGAACGTTAATAGTAAGTTTAGAAGCATAGAGAGAAAGAAGCAAAGCTGAATTAGAATTTGTAAATGATGCGTAATAAGATGCACTCACTTTATTATTATATCTTATGCTTGTTTTCAACTTTCTATGTATATACGATTTATGTTATATTGTTTAAATTCAAAGTTTGGATACTTTTTTGGTGTAACAGAAGAAGCAAGAAAAATTTCATCATGTAAACCGAAGAAATAAGTTTCATTGTGGTGCTGCAGAATTTTAGTTTAAGCAAAAGTCATTAGTAAGATTTTGTTAGCCGTTAAGCAAAGAAAAAACAAAAGTTTCCTTCATGCAATGACATTTATTTTGCTATGTTTATCTACCATATCGACAACAACCCAAAAAAAAAAACTAACTTTACTTGATGATTCCACTATATACGAGAATATAATGGACATAAAGTTCAAACTTTTCAAATTGATATTTAAAAAGAAAGGAAAAAAAAAGAATAAACAGCAAAATAGCCGAGGAGAAAAGTAATCTACATGTCAAGACTCAAGAGTAAAGCAAAAAAACGTGGAAAGACACATGCAACAGCGATCGGGACACTACAGTACTCAAAGATGACAAAAGAAAAAGAAAAAAATAAAGATGTGGTAGAGAGATTTATTCCCCCACATGAAGGGACAAAACGCAAACCAAGGAAAATTTTGTTAATTTATTGCAAATTTTAAATACACCAAACGTGAGGAGTATCGTTTGGGGATGATTTTGTTGTCGACAATAATTAATGATTTTGTTGGTTACATACATTGCATCTACAAATTTTTAAAATTGAAATCGGTCCTTCCAATGTGGTTGGCTCTGTCATTAACAGAACATGAGATTATTAATTATACTAATCCAACTCTTTATTTGTATATTTCGTTACTTTATAAAATAATACGAGTAAGAAATCGTGTGTGAATATAATTTTGTTCAGTGGTTCATTGAAAGAAAAAAGAGCACCTAACGTTTAAATCTGGATTACAAGCTAACATAAATATCAAAATCATAAGCTTTATTCTTAGATAATCCAGTTAACATCGTAAACATCTGATTTGTTTATTAAAAATGAATGAGAATATCAATTGGGTCATGTCCTCAGATTTCATCGGTCTTGTCGATGATAAGTTTTGGTGATAGTTTGTGACCAACCGCCTATAACCTCTAGTACCAATCGAATTTAGATCCGAAACACACACGTTAAGCAACGTACAAAAGTTAAAGCTGACTCAAGCTTAATTTTCTTGGTCATGGTTTCTAATGTGAAGATCCTACTTGGATCCAATCATCCAAATGGTAAAAACACATGACCATAGACACCAAAAATGGGTGCCAGAGACAACGGATCTATAGAGACTATTTATGGAGATATATGCCCCAAAGAAAGGGAGCAAGAGTTGCCCATTTCCAGCTCGCATTTATTCTTTCTTCCTCTTCCTTGTTTGCTTTTCTTATTTTCTTGCTTACTCTCTACACATCTACACATGCATAATGATGCATCCACTTCGTCGTATATTATAAGCATTTTCGGTTCAGTATGTATATTCAAAGTTGCATTAGACCATCGGCTTATATTCATATATTACGATATTGGATTCAATTGTTACTAGTTGTTTTGTATCTGGAAGCAAAAACCTTTTTTTGGAATAAGTAAAAAGTTTTGGGTCTAGACCAGTCGAGCAATAAATTTTTTATTTTTATAAACTCCATAATCTTATAACAATTTTATCTAGGACCAAAACATAAGATGTTTGCCTTAAAACGTATATTCAATTGCAATTTTGAAGGTTCGATTGCAATTTTCCCTTAATTGCAAAATCATAACTTTGTGCATAAATTAAAATAATTACTATAAGATATTCGAAAAGCTTTAAGGAAAAGGAAAAAGGCCCACGTGGAGGCGCGAGAGATTAAAGGAGATCTATAAAATTGACGGCGTCAAGTCAACGTGCAATTAAAAACACCGTCAAAGGTAAAAAAAAAAGTTAACGGAGATAGATATTACACGGCATCCCAGAATAGTTCCACTAATCTAATCCGGGACTCCTCATCTTCTGCCGTCGAATCGGCGATTCCTCCGGCGACGATTCCGGCGACGTCGTCAACACATCGTCATCGTCTACTGGAGAAGAAAGTGGCGAGGTGGAAAACATCTCCACCGGAGATAACTGCGGAGAAGAGTCCGACGATTCAGTCGAAATAGTCAACGGCGGCGACGATTCAGGCGAGATAGTCAACGGAGATGACGGCGGAGGAAGCGAAGAGTTAACGGAATCAGAATCTTCCGGAAGCTTCCGTTTGTTTCCGTTGGAAAGTTTAACGTCTTTAGTTAAGTGATTTCTCAGACGTTTAACGTCGGCGAGTTTCACCGGTTTCAATAAGAAATCTTGAGCACCTTCCTCAAGGCATCTGTTCAAAAAAACATATTTTCAAAATTTATCAATCAACAGTTTCTAAAAACTCCAAAATCTGTGAAAATATCAATCAGTTCACCTATCGATTCTGGTCAAAACGTTCTCCGATGACATGATTACAACAGGAACTTCTCTGAAATTAGACGATTCCTGTTTCAGGTCACCGGAAAATTCCACATTGTGATTAAAAAAAATCTATTAAAAAATCGTAATCTGAATTTATGAAATGGCGGGAAAATGAAGACCTTAATCTTCTTGAGAAGCTCATAACCAGTCATTCCAGGCATACAGTAATCAGTGATGATCAAATCAACTTTCAATCTCTGAAATATTTCGTTAAAAACTTAAAATAATTAAAATCACGATTCATAATCCTCAAAATAGAAAAATGTCTATCAGATTTTCAAGACTTACATCGAATTCAGCAGAAGCTTTCTCATTATCTAACCCTAGAAATTCCAGAGCACGCCATCCACTATCTACCGCCGTAACTGAAAAAGATACCACCGGATATATAAAGATTCCGGTGAGGATTAAAAAAAAGTGTTTTTTTGTAAAATGACGAACCTTTGCAGGAAGTAATACGAAGCAATCTCTCGATGACAATCCGATCAACGAGGCTGTCGTCGACGGCCAAGACATGAACTTCATCTAAATCCAACGGCGCAGATTCAATTCCTCCGACGTTCATCATCTCCGACCTCCGTAAACAAGAAACACCACCGTCTCTGGCCATAGACGAGTTTGTAGTAAGTGTAAGGAGAGGATGAGAATAAAAGAGAGAAGAAGAAGAAGAAGAAGAAGAGCTCACATCTGTTTCTTTTGTTCCTTTCTCTTCCTTAAGACAGTTTTTTATATTTCTGATTTTTTTTTTCTCAAAAAAAAATTAAAATCAATCTTTTATCAGTGTGTCTTTTTGGTTTTTTCAATTTTTATTTTTAAATCTCCAGCGAGGAAAATCCAACAAAATCTTTGGTTCCTATTTATGTGAAAATTATGTTTTTATATTTTCTTTTGTGCCGTGCTTTTAGGGTTGAAAAATTGAACTTTTATCTTTGAAAAAATAGTATTAATAAATAGAGATTTTCTGAAAATCTGGTGGGGGCCTATGCGAATATCATAGAGAAAAATATTCCTAAAATCGAATAAATAATAGAGGAGAAGAAAGAAATCCGTACCAAGGAATCGAAAAAAAACAGAAAAAAATACCATCGTGAGATATATATACAAGTATTAGTCAAAATCTCGTCATTAGTGTGAGTGAAAAACTGAAAATGGAATCACGATCACCGTTAAGAATAATAAACCAGAAGTTGATTTTGGTCACACGGTATTACAATTCACAGTAGCGTGTTTAAACTAAACCGGTTCAGAAATATGCGTTCGGATTGGTCTTATTTGTTGGTCTATCATATAAAGACAATTTTGATTGTTCCATGTGATTGGTCAGTTTCTAATTTAAAAAATTACTAGTATAATACAAATGCAATTCATAGAACAATATCAAAGATCGGTTTTTTTTTTTTTTTTTTTTAATCGGGTGCTTGTCTCCTGGTGGTATAGGAACCTCGGCTGAGGCACCCGCCACCCGGCTTCGAGTCCCGGCCACTGCGCAATTTACCTACGGGGCGCAGCGTCCCAGACCACCAGATCCGAGGGGCCCTTAAGTGGAGGCTTAAAAATCCAAGGAACGCGGGCTTAGGCCCAGTGGGCTAGTCGGATCACAGTGTGGTCTGGACACTGGGTTATCAAAAAAAGATCGGTTTTTGTGGGTTGACGAGAAAATTAATGTATGCCTAACTAGTAAGTATATCCATATGACTCTAGAAATTTTATGTTATCCAAACAATTTATTTATATCGTTTTCAAAAGAAATTAAAAAAAATAAAAAACAAGAGGAGAGTGGACAAATAATAATATAAAAAAAGGATTGACGTCCACATTAAAATTTGGATCCGCGGGACCCAGGGAAATCTAAAAGGGGGACCCATAAATATTTTGTTGGGAACAATTTGTATTAATGAAAGGGGGAATTGGACTTTTCCTCTTTCGTTTTATTTTTCTTCCAAACATAATTTGCTGTTTCACTCTTTTAGACACCACACCGTATCAAATCTTGCAGATTGCTTTTGCTTTGTCTTTCCCACCCATTAATAATTTTTAAAATTCTTATTTTGTTATAAAAATAAATGTATTAACATAAATATCTATTTAATCAACTTGACTAATGAAAATGTAATATTTTAAAAAGTTTTTCTTTTCTCTTGTTAATAAATTGATATTTAAAAAAAAAAAATATCAATTTAAGACCGCAATTTCCATATATCGGAGACTGGTTGTCCTGGCGGGGTTGGCGGGATAAAAAACCAATACGGTGTCGTTTGGATAGAGCTTTAGCGAATGAAGATTGGCATGAATTATTCTGCAACTCTTTCGTTGAATATTTACCAATGGTTGCTTCGGACCATTCACCGGTGGTAGCTACGTTATTGGATAAGATACCACGTGGGAAACGAAGCTTTCGGTTTGACAAGAGATGGATTGGAAAGGAAGGATTAATGGAGGCAATTTCAAATGGCTGGAATTCGGATTCTGAATTAGGAGAAGGAAAATTCGTGGAAAAGTTGAATAATTGTAGGCGGGCTATTTCACAATGGAGGAAAGAACTAACTCCTTATGGGCGGCAAACAATTGAGGAACTTAAATCGGAATTACATGTGGCACAAAATGATGACAGGAGATCACGAGAGGAGATTACGGAATTAACATTGCGGTTGAAAGAAGCTTATCGAGATGAGGAATTGTATTGGTACCAAAAAAGTAGGTGCTCTTGGATGAAACTAGGAGATGATAACTCAAAGTACTTTCACGCTCTAACAAAACAAAGACGCGCAAGGAATCGGATTACGGGGCTGCATGATGAAAACGGGATTTGGTCTGCAGAGGATAAAGATATTCAAAATATAGCGGTTTCTTATTTTAAGGATTTGTTTACTACAAGTAAGCCCGAGGCTTTTGAGGAGTCTTTGGCAGAAATACAAAGTCTGATTACGGATGAGGTTAATAATTTTCTAACGGCACCTGTTACAGAGAGTGAGGTGAGAACAGCTCTATTTATGATGCATCCAGAAAAATCGCCAGGGCCTGATGGTATGACAGCCTTATTTTTTCAAAAGGCTTGGATTACAATTAAATCAGATCTTCTTGTTCTGGTTAATTCTTTTCTAGAGGATGGAATTTTCGACAAACGGTTAAATACGACCAACATTTGTCTAATTCCAAAAACGGAAAGACCGACACGGATGACGGAATTACGGCCTATAAGTCTATGCAATGTGGGCTATAAAATTATATCGAAGATTCTTTGTCAAAGACTTAAAACGGTTTTACCAAAACTTATTTCGGAAACACAATCAGCTTTTGTCGAAGGACGGTTGATTTCAGATAATATACTTATTGCACAAGAGATGTTTCATGGGCTGAGAACTAACCCGTCATGTAAGGCAAAATTCATGGCCATTAAAACTGATATGAGTAAAGCGTATGATAGGGTGGAATGGATTTTCGTTGAGAAGGTTCTAAGAAAATTGGGTTTCTGCGAGAAATGGATTAACTGGATAATGTGGTGTATTACAACAGTTCAATATAGAGTGCTCCTTAATGGGCAACCTAGAGGACTAATTGTACCAGAAAGAGGATTACGACAAGGAGACCCGTTATCTCCTTATTTATTCATCCTTTGTACAGAAGTGCTAATTGCGAATATTCGGAAAGCAGAAAGGGAAAAACTAATTACGGGTATTAAGATAGCAAATGCAAGCCCTTCGGTTTCACATCTGTTATTTGCGGATGACAGTTTATTCTTTTGTAAAGCAAATAAGGACCAGTGTGAGGTAATTTTGGGGATTTTAAAAAAGTATGAAGCAGTCTCAGGACAACAGATTAATTTTTTAAAATCCTCGATTCAGTTTGGACATAAGGTAGATGAGGATATCAAGGATGAAATCAAATCTACCTTGGGAATCACTAATATCGGTGGGATGGGCTCTTACCTCGGTTTGCCGGAGAGTTTGGGTGGATCTAAAACAAAAATTTTCTCTTTTGTCAGAGATAGATTGCAAACAAGAATTAACGGATGGTCGGCAAAATTTTTATCGAAAGGTGGGAAAGAAGTAATGATTAAATCGGTAGCTGCAGCATTACCAACTTATGTTATGTCGTGCTTCAGGCTACCAAAAACAATCACTTCTAAACTTACTAGTGCGGTTGCTAAATTTTGGTGGAGTTCAAATGGGGATTCCAGAGGTATGCATTGGATGGCTTGGAACAAGTTGTGCAATAGTAAATCAGAAGGAGGGTTAGGTTTTCGCAATGTAGACGATTTTAATTCAGCTCTATTAGCCAAACAATTATGGCGGTTGATTACGGTTCCAGAGTCTCTTTTGGCGAAGGTGTTTAAAGGGCGGTACTTTCGGAAATCCAATCCTATGGAAAATATAAAATCATACTCCCCATCATATGGATGGCGTAGTATCTGTTCAGCTAGATCTCTGGTTAATAAAGGACTTATTAAAAGGGTCGGATCGGGGACATCCATCTCAGTTTGGGAGGATCCCTGGATTCCAGCTCAATTCCCGAGACCAGCAAAGAGTAATGGTTCACGTGTTGACCCATTGTTAAAAGTTAGTAATCTTATAGATAGTCGGTCGAATTTTTGGAATATTGCTCTCTTAGAGGAGATCTTTGATCCAGAAGATGTCGCCCTAATAAGTGCCCTACCTGTGGGTGCGCCAACTAAGGAAGATACACTAGGTTGGCATTTTACAAAATCTGGAAAATATACAGTCAAATCGGGATATCATACCACAAGGTTAGAAAAGTTGGAGACCAATTTATCATTGATTGGCCCAGACATCAAACCGTTAAAAGCACATTCTTGGCAAGTGCAGTGTCCACCTAAGATACGTCACTTTTTGTGGCAAATCTTAACGGGTTGTGTACCAGTTACGGAAAATTTGCGGAAAAGAGGAATTGATTGTGACACAGGCTGTGCCAGATGTGGCGAACCAGTGGAAACAATCAATCATACACTTTTTCAATGCCACCCGGCACGACAGGTTTGGGCACTTTCCCAGATTCCTACGGCAATGGGAATTTTTCCAATGGAGTCTATTTTTGCGAATTTGGATAATTTATTTTGGAGAATACCTTCGGAATTTGATTCTTCAGCCTTTCCATGGATTATCTGGTATATTTGGAAAGCAAGGAATGAAAAAACCTTTGAAAATATTGATAAAGATCCGTTAGAGGTATTACGGTTAGCGGAAAAAGAAGCACAATTGTGGCAGTCAGCCCAAATCGAGCTTCATCATGAAACTAATGGTATTGTGGAATTGGTAAATCGTTCTCGAGTGGGGGATGCTTCACTTGATTCGAATTATTCTGGATGTCGTTGCTTTGTGGATGGATCGTGGAAAGAAAGTGATAAGTTCTCCGGTGCAGGATGGTTTTGTACATCATCAAACGGAGAGCCGCCAACCATGGGAGCTGCCAACCTCCGTAGAAGTCTATCTCCATTACATACAGAATTCGAGGCTCTTCTCTGGGCGATGAAGTGTATGATTGGTGCAGATAATCAAGAGGTAGAGTTCCTTACAGACTGTTCTGATCTGGTGAAGATGGTGTCTTCTCCAACCGAATGGCCGGCGTTTTCAGTGTACTTGGAGGAATTTCAGAGCGACAA